TGATCTCCAGCTCATTTTTCTTTTCTCCAGCCCTCCTCTTTTGTATTCCTTTTAGGTGGTTATGTGTACTTGAAATTACCGGTACAGAAAATATGAGTTGTAACAGTCAAACCTGTCTTTAGCGACCACCCAAGGGAAACACAGACAGTGGTCTTTGTAGACAGGTTCCTTTTATAGTACATGTGTCAATTAATGAGAAACCGTTTTTGAGGGAAACCAAAAATGTGGTCTTTGTAGACAGGTGGTCACTAAAGCAGGTTTGACTGTATGATGTCAGCTGTGTTGTGATCCTTTCCTCCTTATTAAAAAGAAACTAGACATAAAACTAAGCTTACACTATATGTATGCAATATCAGACACTTATTAATACATCATCATAATCATAGAGGCATTAAAGGGGTTAATTGCCAGTATTCACAACTTCTAGGAATAACTTATATTATATACCTCACTTAAGTAATCCAGCCATCTGATTGGTCGAAATTGCATTCATAAACTTCAACTGTTCCTGTAAAATTCCCGGTAACCATGCTTAAAACATTTAATATTTTCAATAACCATGGTTATTAAAAAAATAGGTCAGTCTCCATGGTTACCCCATAGGTTTACATGTTAAAAAATGGTTTGAGCGATGGAGGATACCGTATGTGTGCGAATAATTGGTCGGTAATTTCAATACAATTGAATCTCGATCGATCTTACCGACAATTTTATCTTGCATTGTTGACATGAAGACGAAAATAAACAAAAAAACAACATCTGCCGATAGATCTTGATCTAAGTTCGTGCCAATATGCATTGCAAAAGTAAAAGAAGAGTCCGTATATGGAGCTTTTGCGAAGCATTCATCACACGCAAAGCCGGTTTCAATCCATTTTAATGTATATATAGTACAAAACTGCCAAGCATGTTAATAACGCGCGATGGCCGAGAGGTCTGAGGCGCTGACTTTAAATACATCACCTTTTGTACGCAAGAGTTCGAATCTCATCTTGGACCAAAAAAAAAAGTATTTTTTATTTTTTATTTTTTAGTCTATTTTTTTTCAGCATATAAAAGTATTAATGACTGCTTTAATATTCGAGAAATAGTTGTTTTTATACGCTCTCGGGAAGGTTACAATTGGGCTATTCCCCTCGGCACGCCTCGGGTAATAGCACAATTCTAACCTTCCCTTGAGCGTATAAAAACAACTATTTCTCTCAAAGCAGTTATTAATACTATACTGTTTTCACACTGGCAATATTTTGCTTAACCCCCTACTATAGGTGGGGTTAAGGGGGGGGGGGGTCTTAGCCCCACCTATACTACGGGGTTAAGCCTATTCCACTTTCTGTTCAGACTGGCTTTTACCAAAGTGGGCTAAAGTTGGCTAACCCCACCTATAGTACGGGGTTAACTAACCCTGCAAAATAGCAGGGCTAACACCGCAATTGTGGTGCTAACTCCTGCTAACCCTTCAATTGCGTTGCTAAGCAAAAGAATGAGAACAGAAACGAAAAATAGTCCGGTACTACGCAATGGATCATATCGCAGCTGGCCAGATGCAAAGTATGTCCAATCATAACATTCACGATATCCGGGGTTAACGAGTTGCAGTGAGAACAGCGGGAATTTTTCTTATTCCGGAATAGGCGCTAGTACGGGACTAAAAACAGCGTGTGTGAAAAGCCAAAAAAAATAGTCCGGGGTAAAGGATAGTACGGGGCTAAGCAAAGTACGGGGCTAAGCAAAGTACGGGGTTAAGCAAAACCAGTGTGAAAAGAGTATTACACTTTAATTGTTTTCAAGCATTAGAAACAAACCACATTGAATACTGAGTTAAGAGCTAATTGCTACTTTCGTTAAAATGTATGTTTAAGCTCCTGAAATTGTGGCAGTTGATTGGCTGGCTGGGAGCAAATTTGGTATATAAATTTAGCATTTGTTATTGATAACAAGTTACATAAAGAGGGCCCTGCTATAACTTACACCTATGGCTAACCCCACCTATAGTACGGGGTTAAGCCTATTCCACTTTCTGTTCAGACTGGCTTTTACCAAAGTGGGCTAAAGTTGGCTAACCCCACCTATAGTACGGGGTTAACTAACCCTGCAAAATAGCAGGGCTAACACCGCAATTGTGGTGCTAACTCCTGCTAACCCTGCCATTGCGTTGCTAAGCAAAAGAATGAGAACAGAAACGAAAAATAGTCCGGTACTACGCAATGGAGCATATCGCAGCTGGCCAGATGCAAAGTATGTCCAATCATAACATTCACGATATCCGGGGTTAACGAATTGCAATGAGAACAGCGGGAATTTTTCTTATATCGGAATAGGCGCTAGTACAGGACTAAAAACAGCGTGTGTGAAAAGCCAAAAAAAATAGTCCGGGGTAAAGGATAGTACGGGGCTAAGCAAAGTACGGGGTTAAGCAAAACCAGTGTGAAAAGAGTATTATACTTTAATTGTTTTCAAGCATTAGAAACAAACCACATTGAATACTGAGCCAATTCATCTAAGGGTTGGATATGTTCACTCAAGCAGAGGAAAAGTCTCCAACAGTTAAGAGCTAATTGCTACTTTCGTTTCTTCAAAACAAAATATGTAGAGCACAAAGGTCTTTTAATCAGCAAATGAACACTGTATGAAAGTTGAATACCAGAGAGCATGACTCATATTCATGAAGGTGCATTAGATTAAACCAGTGCCCCGTTTCATGAAAATTGTTATCAATAACAAGTTAAAATGTATGTTTAAGCTCCTGAAATTGTGGCAGTTGATTGGCTGGCTGGGAGCAAATTTGGTATATAAATTTAGCATTTGTTATTGATAACAAGTTACATAAAGAGGGCCCTGCTATAACTTACATTTAGTCCAAAGATTTATGGAGCTCCATTGATCATGATATTTTCTTTGCACAAATTACTGTAACTCTGAAGCAATATATGAAATGTATCTAGCCACAAAATGTTGACATGATCTTGTATGCTTATTGTTACAGAATGTACAGTGTATGGTAATTTTTTAACCGAATGAAGAATTTGATGTTTGGTGCTCCATAAATAATTGAATCAGGATTCATACAGCGCTTAATACGGAATGCTGTCTCATGGCGCTTTACAGATATTATAATTATTACCTCGGTCCTCGCACACATAGTGTAAACCATTTCCACTCCCTGGGGTATTCCTACCATTATGTTCACCATTAGGGCATTTGGCAATTAATTACACTTCATCCTCCTACCAGATCCCCCAATTCTCTTTAACATCATTCTACAGAAATGTTAAAACTTATCTAATGTCAAAATCTTTCACTTAATTTCCATAATTATTTTTCTTATTTTTATCCATTGTTACCTGAATTTTTTCCATTTGTTCTTTATTTTTTGTTAACTGTTTGTTATATATTTTGTTAGATACTTCTAGCATTCTGTGAGATGGATATGAGTAAATAATATGAGAAAATGTTGTTATTATTATTATTATTAGTATGGAGTGGCAAGCAAATGTAGAGTAATGTCCTGCTAAAGGAAATTAACATGTGTCAACTCAAGGATCAATCCAAGAACCCTTGCATTTCTAGTGTGGTGTCTAAACCACTTCTTATTCTATGCTACGACACCTCTAAAATCAGTGGATTTATAGTATACCCCCATAGACCAGACTAAAGTTGAGTAAACCTGGTACACTTTTAAGAAGACTGGCTAAAGATAAAGTTAAGTTCTGGTCATGAGATTGCATTGTGAAAGAAACGGTGTGGAATCGATCAAAAAAAGTTGATAATGTAGCATAATTATTGGTGTGTACTACAAGGTTCTGAAATCATCAAAATTATAAGAAATTAGGCACAGTCTTGGTAAAAGTAACAAGTAACTGTACATGGGACTACACAAACGTGTGGCATAAAAATGTGGTCCTCATTTTTAAGCTGTTAAATTACATGTCATATTTAGATTATGAAGGCATTTGAAAAGCCATGCTTTTCAGGGAACATTTTTCTCTGATGCACTTCCACACTTGCATAATAAGAATGGAAACTCTCACAGATTATTGGTCACCTCTTCCCAGAACTCAACCTTCTCTATAAATTTGTTAATCAGGTTTGATAGCTTGCTAGCCAAGTGGCCATAGGATATCAACTGGTCATTTCTGTCTAGACTACTGGTACCTGCAATTAAATCAAGATGACCTTACAAGTAACCTTACAAGTAAGCCAGTTATATTATTTATCAATATTTACAGCTTTTATGAAGCACATGGTTTTATGCATGTGATTTTTAATTAGTATTGTTATTATTATACAGGTATATATCATCATCATCATTACTATTCATTAGTATCATTTATTATCATATTTTTAATATGTCTCAAGGTTAGATATGAAGGTAAAGCTGGGTCAAAAGTTGAAAATGAAATTTTCTTACTTTTACATTTTAACAACAAGCTGGCGTAACCTCAAAGTTAAATGCATCCGCATGGCACACATAACTTGTTGGAGTGCTGCTCATAGTTATCGCTAGAAGTCAACTCAAGGTTTCATAACCAATAGTGCGTCCACACCTAAGTTCAAAACCGGGACCTGAACTTGAAGTTTACATACCGTTATGCAAACCTGAACGATGGAATGGTATAATCACCTTCTTTAAATAGGTAATCTGACAAAGAGAACTGATAGAAATGTTCTGAGTATAGCAATTACCTGACCCCTAGGGCCCCCCTAGGGCTCCTGACCCCTACCCCACCACTCACAAAAGAATGCTATTTGATCTTAGAAATCTAGGTACTCTGGATCATATTAAATTCAGCTTTACTCGCCCCCCTCCCACCTCCCTTTTTTCTAAGAGAAGATGTGAACAATCTAAAACTTTACCTTGGAAGAGCAATTCCAGTGCAATTTTTTCAATCTTAGAAGTGTTCCAAAACTTTTGAATAACATCATTTTATTATCCCAATAAGAAAATATAATCTCCAGAAGATTAAATCTCTTTTTTATAAGATGAAAATTGTACCCACCTGAGTAAAAAGTGTATCGCAACTCGAAGAAAATCCCAGCCCAATGGAGCGTGTGAAAACTGTTGTAATCTGAGGGCAATAAAAGCAACAAAACATGGGTAAAATTCCTTTGTCACGTTATTGTAAGTAATTCAATAAATACATCATTTGACAGGTGCTTTACCCGAACGGACTATAGTCACTGAATAACCTTTATTACTCAAGTATGAACTTCTTATTTACTCAGCAAACAAATACAGACATATATTTGATGCTATCTCAAATCTGAACAAATGGAGATGAACAAAGTTAATGACCTATGGAAAAACCACATGATTACAGTAATACAACACTGTAAAATGCTTTGATCAGTAATACATATTCCGAAAAGACAACATATAAAAAAACAGCCCTTATCATTATATTGCTTGCTAGAGGGATCATGAGAGATAGCAGTAGATTTGTAGGGCATTTCTAAAAAGTAGATATGACTAATGAGCTTGAGCAAAGCACAGTATTGAGTGAACCCTCCTGCATCTCTGGAGGCTCTTTTGCACAGTCCAAAGTTACTCCCCAAACTCACAAGCTTAATTAATTAATAATTTAAGAATGTGACATATTAAAGCTTACATCAATAAGTATTCAACAAAAGCCCTTATTCAATCAGTCCACATTTTATTCTTGAGTTATGCTACGGTCACAAAGGTTCGTACGAACAATAATTTTGTACGAATCTCCGTTTTTCCATTGTCTTCCCGAATTTCCATTGTCTGAAAATCGTTTGTACGGCTTTCGTAGCAGTTCGTAATGGCATTTGTGACCGAGGCTTTACAAAAAACACAAAAATCACAAAAACATCAAATTTACAAGGGGTATGAAAGTCGTTCAACGAGCATGAAATCAAACATCATAAATATTTGCATACAATGCATTGGGTGCTGTAGAAAAAGTTAACATGGGTTAGTAGTTGACCAGCATTTCTGAAAAGTATGCAAACATGAGCTGTTATAAAGAACAGAGTATTGTACATGTACATGTATGTTTATTTAATGCCATTCTAAGAATTAAAATTAAATTTGAGGTCACTAGAAGGACATCTCTTCTTTAACGTTAAATGAATATCAAATCATTCAAGTACATGACATAAGATTTCATATAAAATGTAATGAGTGGCCTTATACATGTAAATAGTGACAAAATAAGAATTGTCATTAAAAAAATATCATCCATGATAGTATCAGTTATCACCAATCTTCAAAGTTTAATGGTCATATTGTGACCGTAAGGTTAAGAAGTAAGAACTTGGATAAGAATTTCAGCGATGTTATCGGGTGAGAAAATCACTGCAAAGTTGGTGGGAATCGGATGAACCTCTGTGACAGAAATCTAATGGTGACTACAGTATAAGTATACATATCATGTATAATCTATTTTTTTTTTAAATGGTGTTTTCTGACTTTTCTCGCACTTTGAACTTTATGGCTAACCCTTCAAAGAGTTATGACTGCTTGTAAAAATGATGATCAATTATTTGGGGCAATTTTAGATTGCATCTTGTATAAGCCACTATTAGTATATATGTAATATCGCATAAAAGGATACAATTATGAATAAATTTCATAATGAATAAAAAGGTAAATTTTATTTCAATAGACTGTATACATTTAGCTCTGTTTGTATTTAGACTCATAACAAGGAGGCATTTTGACAATGAACTGAAAGGAATCAAACAACTTGTCTGGGGAATAAACCCATCACAGGATGACTTTGACCGTTTACGACAAGAATAAATACTGACCGAGTTTGCAAGTGAGGCAGCTGCTAGTTCATTCTTGCCAAGATGTCCACTGAAGAGCACAGCCATAATCGTCATCATAGCTTCTAGAAGCATGTATACAACCTGGAAGATTAACAATGAAACGTAAATGGTTATCCATAATGCTACATGTTATGTATCCACCATACAAAAGCATCAATATATATATACATGTATTACTCTAGCTCTAGCTAGACAACCAATTTTGACACTCACAGCTTTCAAGGAATTCTTCCCTACCAGCACTTCAATAACACCTGGGTGGAGAGTGGCATTCTGCAGATTACTGTCTTACCAAATAGACACTAGTGCCACACTGGGTCTCAAAGCCACACATTTGTATCACCAGGATGCACATGCATCGATGCATACTTTTCTCAAGATAATTGATCTCATCACCATCCCCTTTGCAATGCCTCCTTCCCTTTCTCTCTCCCTCCTTCCCATTTCCCCTCCTTCCCCTCTCACTCCTCCTCCCTCCTTCTCCCTCTCTCTCCTTCCCCTTTTCCCTCCTTCTCACTCCTTCTCCCTCCTTCCCCCTCTCCCTCCTTCCCATTTTCACTCCTTATCCGTCCTTCTCCCTCCTTCCCCTCACTCTTTCTCCCTCTCCCTCCTCTCCTTCTCTCTCCTTCCCCTTTTCCCTCCTTCTCACTCCTTCCCCCTCTCCCTCCTTCCCCCTCTCCCTCCTTCCCCCTCTCCCTTCCCCCTGCTCCCCCTCCCTCCTTCTCCTCTCCCTCCTTCCCCCTCTCCCTTCCCCCTGCTCCCCCTCCCTCCTTCTCCTCTCCCTCCTTCCCCCTCTCCCTTCCCCCTGCTCCCCCTCCCTCCTTCTCCTCTCCCTCCTTCCCCCTCTCTCTCCTTCTCCTCTCCATCCTTCCACTCTCCCTCCTTCCCCTTTTCCCTCCCTTCCCCTCACCCTCTACTCACTATCATCTGCATGCTCACCCTAAACCTACTAACCTATTAACCCATAATCATGCTTTAGGGAACCTGGAAACGGGACATGTAAGGTTAGGAACATAAGGTGAACCCTGAAATGAATGCAGCATGTATCTCAAGACATCAAAAACAATATAAAAAACTCCATGTTGTTTGACAAATGTCATATACCGGTATACATGTAGGTCTGTACATTCAGGCATGTTATTATGGTTAGTGTTCTGTACATGTATGCATTTGTACATGTAGGTAATGTTTTTTTCCAGAATAATCACATAAGAATGGTATTGACAGATTCAGTTTAATACCAACATCTTCTTCAAAAGAATAAAGCTGCTACTATTAATACTTGCACAAGAAATTCAGAAGTTCTAAGCTGGCTAACAAAAACTGCAACTTTTACTAGCTTAAAGACCCTAAACTATGACCTGAAAATAGTCTCTGATATGAAGATAATCCTGGACTACATTTCTGTAATCCGATTGATGTTGATGTTTGAGGAACTTATCTGTCAAATCTGAAAATGCTTTTACCATCTGAACAACACTACTGAAACCATTGTGGTGACTTGACTTTCATGGAAGGTAATTCAAGGGACTACTTCCTTCCTTGCAAACAATACTAAAAGTTAGGCAAATCAAATACACTTCTCATAATGCATGGGAACCAAAATAATGATGACAGAAGCTTCTAATGGTGTATTTTACAATGATCGATAGAGTGAATTGCTGTTTGGTCCATGACCAGGATGTCTACTGTCTAATTGGTCTTTTCTCATTTGGTCTACACCCAGCCTGTCTTCTATCTGCATGGTCTAATAGGTCTGTTGTTCATTTTGTCTAATAACCTGTTATTACCAAATGACCATTAACCCAAATGGTCAATAGAGCAAATGAAAGTAGACAAAATGATTATTAGACTGTTGATGGTAGACAGGCTGGGTGTAGAGTCTGTAGACAATATAACAATAGACCAGTTGAGTAGAAGACAAATGGCTGTAAAGTGTAGACCATAAGGCTATATGAACAATTGATACAAGGTTGATAAAAAAAAAAACCACAGGAATTTGTTATGAGAACAGAATGTAATGCAATATTGTTTCAGACAATTAAAATGAAAGTGAAATATATACTGTCGAAAAAAGAGGAAACTTCTTCTGTTGACATGAAAAAAAACATGGATCAATGTTCATTCAATCTGATTTATAATGAGAGAAACAAGCCAATGTACCAGTGAAAGTTTAAGAAATTCTCATAACAGACATAAGTCAAAATATTTGTAAGTTTTAAATATCACTACAAGGACAGGAAATCTGTGCTTTCTTTTGTGATTTTTGATACACAGGATTTTAACAAACAAAATATCATATTTCTCAATGAAAATGACTTCGTAAACTCATGCCTTATTTCTCTTAAGAAACAAATTGGTCCTCCTTTATGTACATGTACTATTATTGTTTTTGTTGAGAAAACAAAGAGTTCTTCGCAAAGCGAGTCAGAAAGTTTTCAATTCATATACCATAGTAATCTCCAAACATTCAAAATTTAATACCATATTGATTTTTCAAAGAGTTTTCTCAAAATTCACTAGTTTTTTCTCAAATTTTTAAGCATTTCATTTAAATCAATGTGATGTTGTTAGGGTGGACTTTTCTTCTAAATATATTTAAGTGAACTCATACTGTCACTGGTTGGTAACTTGTATGATAACTAACTTCAACGCTGACCTAGGAATACATCTCAGACCGCTTTGGATCCAGTGAAAAAGGTGCTATATGAATTGCTAGTATCATTATTATTAATAGTTTCACAGAAATTACAACAAAAAAATATAATGCATACTTACATTGGGCCAAGCAAGCTTGAGTATGATTTTCATTTCCTCCAAGTATTCCTTCACTGTGAATTCCCAGCGGGGACAAAAACCCCACATCTTGGGTGATGCATAGTCCACTTCATCATCATCATCATCTGCCTCTCCTCCTCCTCTTCCTCCTCCGCACTCTCCTTCTTCATCATAATTCTCATTGCTTCTTCCATCTCCATTAGATACTGTGCTCTGCTGTGCTACTTCTCCCTCTCCTTCCCTGTTGTTATCATCTACAGTCTTATCACCATGGTCCAACAATGATTTCTGTCCATGCCCGGGATCCTGCTTCCTTTGGACACCGGTATCTGAACCACCATCCATGGGACTATTACCCTCCCTTCCAGTATCCTCCTCCATCGGTTCACATTCATTCATCCTTGATTTAATATTCTACACTACAGGGAAAAGAAGAAAGAGATAGAGGACTTGACACATCACAGAATCAGTGCACAGAACAAATCGTATAGGTATTCAAACTGGCAAACGAACCACTCCAGTAGTTATTTTCATTGAAGCAAGCTTGAAAAGTAAGCCCCAAAATTTGTTAAGTATTTTTTCCCTGAACCACTCCTGAGTGACTGACTTTGTTACTGTTTCGCTCTCTGTACACTAGGAAGGAACTATACCGTGTGAGTCAAAAAAAGTTTACACCTAGAAAATTGCTAACTATTTGTAAAATCATCTATGAACAGTAAATTATTATACATCTTATGAAAGAGTGTTTTATCCCAAATCATTTGGTACCAGTTTTGTGTGGTATGTGTTCACGCTTGGATGAACAGGTGGCATTGTCTGCGAGAGTGCAAAAATCGACTTGCGCCAAAGTGATGCCTACAGTATGTATTATATTGGGATTAGCGGAGTGAGAGAATGAATTGAATGTATCAAATGAAATGCATTGCATATGTTTTTTGCAACGGGCAAAGTCACACACACCCACACACACGCGCACAAATGTTCGTGATATTTGATATTCGATATTTGATATGTGTGGCATGATTAATTTTGGTAGGGATGTTATTTGGATCTGCAAGACCGAACTAATACCCAAATCCCAATTGTTTTATTCAAGCATCACATAAGCAACTTTGGCGCAAGTCGATTTTTGCACTCTCACAAACAATGTCTCCTGTTCATCCAAGCATGAACACATACCACACAAAAATGGTACCAAATGATTTAGGATAAAATACTCTTTCATAAGACATATAACAATTTAATGTTCATCAATGATTTTTTTTTATATAATTAGCAATTTTCTAGGTGTTAACTTTTTTTTGACTCACACTGTACAGGATCTTGCTTTATATTAAAGCTAGAAGAAACCATACAAGAATCAGGTCATTGTGATTCATACAGCAAACTGATCCCATGTATTAGCCTGATTGATCACTTCATAAATCTCTCCATTCTTGTTTGGTTGGTCATCACAAAGGATATCCATTTAATTTACCCAACCATTCATCACATCAAAAAACTTTCTGAAAAACTGTTTACAATATTAGCTCTAAAAGGATATTGAGTTTTTATTATTTTGAATACATAATACTGATGTTCATTTTCAAGTCCTATGAAAATGTTTTTAGCTCATAAATCATTTGCTCTGTGTATATTAAGGATATTGAGATGTGTCTGTAGATATAAGTGGCTCCATTTTGTATATCTTGTTGTTGTTGTGTTGTTATTTTTTTTTGGGGGGGGGCATGAGGACAAGGTTCAAATAGATCTGGTTGATATCACTGAAGAATTCAATCTGGCTTCCAAAGGGCATCAAGAATACATTTTCATGCAATGCAGACCTACCAATATTGAAGTTTTCCTGTATGCCTATTGAGAATGTCTGTTTGAGGAATACCAATCATAAATCACTCCCAGGCAAACCATGTAAACCATCTAAATGTTATTCCAAATAGTTGATAGTAGAGAAGTATCCTGATATACATGTAGCATTTTGAGTTGAGGAATGGAAGGGAAAAAATATTCATTAGTCTGTTTATAATTGATGTTAAAATTTAACAAGAACCAGTACAGTTGTCCTCCATATCATTCTCTAACATCCCAGTATATATATTACTTTCATTACATAAATGTTTGGAGGATGTTTCAACAAGTAAGTAATACAAGCAATTGTATCAAAGCAACCACACAGGTCACTAAACCCACGAAACAGGCAAGACCGGTGCCCTAGCTTAAGATTAATGTCTGGTACATGACACATGTATTATGCAATTATCATAGTTTCCTTGGGTACTGATGGATCATGATTCATGGATGCAAAGAATGCAGATTTATTTCTCCAGTCTATCTTCTTCAAAATAAAGGATAGCTAGTGACCTCACTAATCCATCGACTCTGGTTTTGCTTTATATTCGGCTTAATGCCCATTAGAAGTTAAACTGTAGTGTAGATAAAGGGAAGGTACAACACTACACATTAAACATGACAGGGCTGAAATAACTGTTTTTTTAATTCATGGATGCTCTTTTTTGGATTTGCTAAATGAATGTAAAATTGAGATACAGTGTACATGTACCCTTCCGGTGTATCTTATTTATAGTAATATTATCTTTGTTTTCACAGTTTTTGAGAGCTCCTTCAGCCAAGCCCATACCAGTGACACTCACTGGCTCACTGCTCCTGTATAGTTTATTGTCATCTCAGGGTACGTTTATGCTCAGCTTTTCTGGCCAGAATGAGGCATCTGTTACGCGTTTAGTTCAAAACACGGTTGCATCCTTTCTCATATTTGTAGAATCACCGAAAAACAGCGATCGTAATCGCTGATTGTAAACTCACCGAAGGTGCATTTACGATCGGCAATTCTGGGGAAGCATATATAAACGCACAATCATTTGTAAACGCGTTTAAATGGGGTCAACGCACTGACCTCTAGTGGGTCTATGTAGCATGCGCAGTGCAGGTTTGCGAATCCAGCTGCAAGGCCACCCAGCCAGAATCACCTGAAGGAGCCAGAGAAGTTAGCATAAACAGTCCACCGTGAAACTGCGATTACGATGAGCGTTTCAAATCGCTCATTTTGCCTTCAAAACTGAGCATAAACATATACCCTCACATGTATCCAAGGTCTGCTCAATAAAGCTTAGTACCATTCTTATAGGAAATGAGCTTAATCCTTTGACTCCTTCCTCAAGCCATTTCACTCATCAGCTCTGTAGAGTTTCAACCTAGGTGTTAAACGCAAAAGAGCTTACCGGTAGCTTGAATTCAGGCCGGTATAAAAACATATAAATTTTGCTAATGGAATCCTTTTTTGGAATTTGCTATAAAAAGTTGACTTTTTCCAACTAGCAATTCTTATGTTTTATATCGTTTGTGTTTTTGTAAAGGACTCATTATTTTAATGTTTTTTCAGCTTGTCTGCAACCCAAGTACCTCCTTCCAGTGTGTTTCCTTTTTACTGTTCCATGCTCATAAGAAGTTCCCTTTACCTTTCATTTTGGCTCAAGCCCTGACTACAAAAGCATATATTATCTCAGAGGAATGCATGCTGGGTCCAACTCAAAACTTCAAACGATCTTCAAACGACGAAGACAGCTAGCCAACAAACACCTCTCATAAATTTATGAGTTACCGAGGGCACTTTTTGTCAAACAAAAGCAAACATCAAATCTTTTGCATTATTTTAGGTTGACTTCTTTGTAGTTGACCTCTACTGAATAGCGGTCTACCATACCAATATACATTTTAAATGTATACAAATTCCAGTGGCAGCCTCAAACTGACTGCCCCTTTTTGTATTTCTAAAAAGTATACAAGTAAGAGTACATGTATGTACATAACAATTCCTTTTGAATCTACCATTTGTCAGTTAAGATCCCCTTTTCTCCTTGTCCAGTAATTTCCTCTTACCTGGCAAGATATTTCAGAGTTTCCAATTTGTGTTTGATTGATCGCAACTTCAAAAATTCAGAACTTTCTTATCTTAAATTGGAATTTGCTTGAAACTTTCACTGACTTGTTCCTCTCATTTTGTTCTGCTTCTATCAAAACCAACTTAATATCAATCAGGGTGGACTTGACTTCCCCTTCAAGAATGTGGATGACCGTTCCAGTGATATAAATGAAGGTCAAAAGTGACATCAATTAGGTCATTACTTATTCAATACTTATTCAGTCTCTTTTCCATAAGATACTGGTCATAACTATTCAGGCTTCAGGAAGAAAATTGGCATTGTCTGTTTAGGGGATAATATGAACATGATACACATATCAACATGTACTATACACTTTATCAAACATTGTTTTTCCCATGGGAACCAAAAAATGACCAATCAAGACTACACCCCCTCGCCCCTCCCCTCCCACTTTAAAATGGAAAAAGTATTAAATCCTATTCATCATAAACAACCAAGAAAATATCATTCATTCTTCTCTATTGTAATTCATAGACCATATTGTCCATGGTAAAATCAAGCCATATAATTTGTTCTGGTTGTTAAGTCTCTAATGGCCTGCCTCTCAAATTGACTGGCACTTTAAATAGTGAACAGAAAAAACCGATCTCGACTAGCACTTACATGTATGCTAACTTTTGGTTTTCTTTTAGCAACAACTTGAACTTTTGTATATAAATGTAAGCGTTAATTAAGCTTATGCAGCATTTGTTTTGTACATTTAATATGTACAGTTTGTATTTTATAGTTTTGCCTTGGATACTTTTTTTAATGATGGACATGCATTTTGTTGTTGTTAATAAACTTTAAACTTCACTTTACAAGACATGTAACCTTACAAGTGTATCAATTATGATTCCTAATTTGACCTGATAACAAAACTCTTTCAAGGAGAGATAATTACTACACAATGCTGAAAATAACAAATAATGGACCTACCCATTTTCTACTAAATTAATATTTCCTAATTAAAGCTGATATACATGCAGGGTCATATCTAACCCATCAACACTCTAATGACATCAAATTTCCGAGATAGTGACATGATACAATGTGTATACACATATGGGCCTACATGCTACCCAGGCATATGTATTTGCCTACAGGTAAAATTCATAGGAACTGAACTGTGCCATTTACAACGTGATAATCATACTCACAGTATTCAAAGCAAAGTATGAGTAAATATGGTATTAATTAGCAGGTTGGTGCAGACTGAAAATGACTGAAATGTACTTCATAAAAAGAATGCTCAAAAGTCAAAGTCAAATTCACACACAAGCATCAGCCTTTTCACACACAGCTAAAATTATATAAACATGATTAGTTTAAAGGGCTTTAACTAATCACCTGTACATACAACATCATTCACACACAGAAATTTCGGTGGGATCGTTAATCGTTTCGTGATTAACTACTGCTCGTAAAATGCGCAGTAGTGCCATTGCGCATTGAAGGTCATGTCATATCAATCAAAGCGCACGCTCCATCCAGTTTAAACACGTCTGAAACACGTTTAAACACGAATAACCTTTCACACACAAAATGTCAAGCTCTCTATAAACGAACTTCGTATCTGCAGCCTGCTTTTAGGGGCGTATGAATCGCGACTTTGTATCTATCCCAACATCTTATAAACGATGTTCACACTGGGAAAATTTTCTATAAACATGTTTAAAACTGTTGGGTTAAACACGTTTATACTAATCATCTCTGGATACGATGAATTTTAGCTGTGTGTGAAAAGGCTGCATGTGTGCCCACTGAGCATCTACCCTTCATTTGACCTTTCAAATTGGCCATTCCTTGATCCTACAGATGACCCATCTAGCCATTGTTCTCAGTTACATGCCTAGACAGTTCTATTGACATAAGGAGATCATCGTTATCACCCATTGTAGTGTTGATAAGAGTATTTGATCAGCCCTATCTCAAAGATAAAACCTTACAATGATGAGGTTCAAGGTGATAGATCCATACCTCAGTTTATAATCAAGTTTGTGTTGATACAATATTGATGACAATACAAACCATGTACACCAAGGTTAATGTGTGAAGCCAGCTGAAAAACAAATTTGTTCTGGAGTGTCATGTTCAATGACACATTGCATGGTCTGAAACTCATTGTACAGCCATGAGGAGTGATTGGTTCAATGTAATGCAATGTCATGCAACAGAAATTCTAATCACCTGTCTGACCTGCAGCATGTCACTTGGTTTCCTTCCATAATTGACATGCATTACAATTTACATACTGTATACTGGTACCCAACAAATTTGCGCTGTACATATATTTCAAAGCTATTAACAAAGAGTTGCCAACTACATGTACATGTAGAAAACATGTATGTCATAGAGATATTATCCTCCTTTGCAGTAGGTATATAATTTGATATTACTGTAATTGAAATCTGTCTATCATGGGAATATTATCACTAATCAGTATGTTCCTCTTTATCTCGTATCTGAGATGATCGAAGGTGCACAACAGTAAAATGGAACTTAAGTTCAAATGCAAACAATGGGTTCTCATGCAGGGAAGAGTGGTGCGGTCTAATTCATTTCTGTACATGATTTATCATGACAAATGGTAGTTATATTACACGCCCATGTTTATAACAAATCGCTGAATGTCACATAATAGCTTCTCACCCAATAGGATACTCTTTAACAAATATCCTATTTTATATTTAAAAGTTGTTTAATCTGAGTTATCTGACCAAAACCCAGACTGACTTTTTTGTTGGTAGCATGAGTCACATATCCGGACCAACAGGGGTCCTGGGTGCCTAGGATACCGGATGATGCACCTGAAGAGACCCCTAAATTCACCAAGAAGGGTTGGTTTTGACCATCAAACGTGTGACTGACCCAGTTTTAGTCACTGATGTAGTAAGTGCAATGATAACACATACAGAGAATATCTTGTAAAATTCTTCAGAGTATACATGTTCATATCAATTTAGATACATGAACATCATTTACATAGCACAAGTATTGTGATCTTTATATTAGACTGTCACAAACAGGGCAATCTGAATCTTCTCTATACTCTTCATACTGCATGCTTATTTTGCTTCACATGACTTATTCACCACCACTACCAGTACAGAAGAGTATTGACAGGTGATGGATATAGTGGGTCATCATGGTCATGTCTCCCCCCCCCCCCTTTACCTTTACCTTTACCCGAGATTCTGGAAGAATGCTGTGTTCTCAGCAGTCGGGCTTCCAGTTCAATTTCATTTTCTTCCTTCTCGTAGTTGGGTGTCTTCTTGGTAAGTGTCTGGCTCAGTTCTGCGTCGGGTATTCTACTCATATGGGGAGCAGAAACACTTGTCCTTCCATACTCGATCCAGTCTGGCTTTAAAGGCATTCACCGTGGTAGCAGTGACCACCTCTTCAGGAAGTGTGTTCCAGTCATTGATGACACGTTGGCTGAATGCATCCTGTCTAATCTTCATTGAGCATCTTTGTTTTACGATCTTTAGACTGTGGCCTCTTTTGTTGCTAGTCGAGTGTTCAAAGAAGGTATCAACTGGGATGCGTTCAAGTCCATGGATGATTTTGAAAACCTGAATCATGTCGCCTCGCCGTCTGCGATATTCGAGGGAGGGAAGGTTGAGCGCCCGAAGTCTCTCTATGTAAGGACGGTTGCGGATGTCATAAATCATTTTGGTAGCTCTCTTCTGCACCCTCTCTATGGTTTTGGAGTCTGTCTTGAAGCGAGGGTACCATATGGAATCTCCGTAATCTATGAGAGGTCTGACAAGGCCTTTGTACAGTTGCAAACCATCCAGAGACTCCTAATCAATTGAGTTATTGACTAATTAATTATATCATTACAAATCTTTTTTCTCAGTTTTATTATGTATAAACTGATTTTGTTTAAATAAAACTGAAGATATATGGCGTATATATTCAATACTGAATGAACGCCATTAAACTATTACCAACAAAAACAACAGCCTCCCATCCAAACTATGGCTGGATTGTTATTTGTTACTACACAATGTATTACATTACGCATTAGACCACTCCCATATTTCATAAGTCCTAACTGTGGAAAGGGGACATGCACCCCCCCCCCCCCCCAATAAAACCTGTTTGTAAACTAGTAGATCTACTAGGCCTAGGTCTAGTATTGACAAGGTATAAAATATACATGACATTCTGTGTCATTGAGCATATCAATTCCAATCACTGTATAAAGCCGCAATTGACGTGAAAGATCACAGTACAAGGGATGCCTAGCTGTTTAAAAAAAACACGCAACGGCGAGTACACACTCCCGGTACCCGCAACTCAAGGGGCGTGATCTGACTGTGCAGTGCTGAGCCTGGTGGCGAACTAGGTCTACTAATTTTTCGTGGACAGCTGATTACGATCTCGAACACAAAAATATGAGCATACAAATTAATTTAAAAAGTAAGAATACCAGGCATACGCATGACTGGAAAGGGAAACATTAACACTGTCATCAACAGCAACATCAAGATCAACCTATAAACTTACCTTTTTCTCCCAATGAAATTTAGTAGGTCCTAGCACCTTAGCTTGCCTCGATCGAGTGGTATACAGCGGCACCTCTGGCGATAGACGATGCGGTACGCGTTTAATACTGTAGGCGACATACAGTATACCTCCGCCGCTGCGCGCCGGGGAGATTTCAGCTGTGCGATCCATGTGGATCTATGTAGCGATGTCACGCTTTTGCAAGTTCAGTCAGCTGTTTAGAGAGTGAATGGCTTCATCCATCCATACAACCAGGAGATGCTCTAACAACAATGGCGCCATATGATGAAAAACCATACAATGCGTACAGGCGATGCTCGGTTGATCGTTGTCTTTCTCTCCGTGGTCCCTCGCATTACGATTAGTAGATTAAAATCCATATGCTCAGGGCACCGGCAAGGGGCATATATTAGTCGTGTCCCCTTCTTTAGAACTGCATGGCCTCAAAGAGGTTGAAAGATTTAGAGACTTTAGTACTTCTGGAAATCGTAGAGACCCTCACCTCAGGAAAACCTGGTTTGAATGTAATGATTGATAAGAACAGGGAAAGTGTACCCTGATAAGAAAGTGTTTTTCCTTTTTTTTCACTTGAATCTTTTAATGGTCTAGTATATATGAAGTAATTTTTTTTCTTCTATAGCTGTCATTTATATTCCCTTCCCCTTCTTATCTGTCTCCTTTTGTCTTTCTTCATATCTCTCCCTCTTCCTCTCTCTCTCTCTCTCTCTCTCTTGTATATATCTCTCCCTCCCCTCTAATGCTCTCTCCCTTCCTCTGCCATGCATAATTATACACCCACTCGATCTCTGCATGCCTCTCTCTAATCTCTAATCGTCTACTGATCCTCCCATCTTTCTCTTTCTCTCTTTTCTTTCTTTCTCTCTCTCTAGCTCTCTCCCTCCTCTTACTCTCTTGACCTCGATCTCTTATAGGCTATTTGTACAACTCCTCTTTATGATTGCTGTCACATCAGCAGTAACATAAGTGCATTGTGTTCTTGCTATTCCTACAAAGGATGGCTATAACATGCACACATCTATACAAAACAGATTGAGGAGACAACATGCACAGGCATATCCGAAGAAAGCGGGGAAGGGGTCACGGGGGGAGGGGGGTTAATTTTTTTTATTTTTTTTGCTTGTCGCACGTTTGGGAAAATTGGACTCCCCTTTCTTTTCTTTTTTAATCCCAGAGCCAGCCATGTACTCATCCGTGACAGAAGAGTTAGGCACTGCTTATCCATGTGTGACACCTCCGTAATTTCAAAAGGGATGTTGTCTTATTCATTTATTGTTGGTTTTGGCCAGTTTCACAATACTAACATTTCAAGCATTTTAATTATCCCATTAAGAAGGATAATTATGCTGTTGTGATCATAGGAAACCTAGGTTGACAGACATCCCTTGAAAATAAAGAGAAAGAAAGACTCCATTGTTACTAAGCATAAATATTCTTGTGGGTTTCATCCTAATATGAACAAGAGGAGGTCACCTTAGCTGATAAAAGTGGGGGCATCGCAATAAGTGACCTAGCTCCTACCCCCTTTGCACAAGGAACATAAGATTTATGGAACAGTAGGGCAGTTTAGGGGTGCTGCTCCCAAGTCCCCTGCAGGGACAGGTATCTCATACAAACAAATTTAGGTCTTCTTCGCATAAAAATGAGTCCTACAAAGTTTAGCCAGAATCCCTACCAACATTTTGGTATGAACTTTAGATCTCCCTTGCCTGAGGATGATTCCTACCTAGTTTCGTTAGAATCCAGCCATAGGTATTTTAAACAAAAAAATGTGCAATTACTGCCACGAAGACATTTTGGGGGTACTGCCCCTCTTGTGGTAACATATCCAATTTGGACAACTTTAGATCTCCCTTGCTTTAAGTATAATTTCTACCAAGATTGGTGAAAATCTGGCTATAAATTTTTGATAAAAAGTTGAATATGTAAAAAGTTTAAAGGACGGACGAAAAGTGATCGGCATCTCACTTGAGCCTATAGCTCAGGTTAGCTAGCAATAATTTCTGTTTCATTCTGCTCACTTTCTCAACATCATGTCATCATTATATAAAACGTACAAAAAAGTGAGGTTGAAATGAATGAATTTATTCCTTCTCACTTTCATGTACATTCATAGAAATAGAATAATGTTTCAGTCAGACCAAGATAAGCTTCAGATGATGGATGGTGATTTACAAAGGGAATATAGGAACTTAAAATCATGGAAATCTACTATGCAAAGCACATTTCTCAATATTTAGGACTATTATCTATATAAGGCTTCCAAGTGGTACAATAAATCAATGTATTCAATATCTTTAGCGCAGTACCCGGATGACTGACCAATATTGTTTTCGTATTGCTCAGTCATCCGGGAACTTCAACTATCAATATCACACGAAAAAGAAGAAAAAATTAAATTTACAGAGGTAAGTCAAATTTTGTTATTTCACTGGTTAGACTAATATAGATAATAATGATATTGTATGGCTTAATTTTTGTGTGATACCAAAATATATTGCTCTCGCTAAAACAATATTAGACTCATCTTCGACTCGTCCAATATTGTCATAGCTTGAGCAATATATTCTTGTATCACACTTAAAGCCATTTAATATTATATAAGTATGACCAAAATCTATTACCAACGATATCGTACCAAGATGATAGTAAGCCAAGCAACAATATTTATTCACATTATATATGTTAGACGGGGAGATGAATATTATATACAACTTATATGTACTTGAAATAATGCTGTCATTTCAGGTTTACATTTTTTTTCCCTCTCTCTCTTTCTATTAAAACTCATTACTCAAGGGCTGTCAACTCTGAAGAACTGCTTGGAGGAGAGATTGTTTGCAAATTATTTTTTTTGCTGAATGGGAGGGGGGGGGAGGAGGAGTTGAGTAATAAACAAAAATTATTATTTAAAAAATGAATGCTCACTACCTCTCCCCCCCCCCCCTTGAAAAAAAAATTGATGTTACCATGTTTGGCGGGCATTTTTGTCATAAACCGGGAGATTCTACACGGGAGCGGGAGGAAGGGTGGGACGGCGGGAGAATGCGCTGGTAGCGTGAGACTCCCTCCAAGTGCGAGAGGGTTGACAGCCCTGTTACTCTATTTAACACGATACATATATAAACATAACCACAATAAATAGACAACTGTACAAGAATGTAATACAAATACATGTATTAAGCTTACAAGAAGGTATACAGCTGTCCTAAAGCTCTTAATCTTCACATTGTATACAAATTCACAATTGAAGGGTTTTGTTATTGTCATGGTTACAAATATAAGTCAAAAGTGTAGAGACATGAATCAAATCATATGACCTTTCCAATAATATGGTCATACATGTTTTTCTATAACTAAAAGCACTGCCTACAACTAAAAATTACATCCGTAATGTAATTTTTCAAAGTGAGAACCTTTCATTGTTGAGTGGTCTTTCACTTTTTCAGTTGATTTGAAATAAAGTGACATGAATTTCTTTATAACAGGATTAATGCACAGGATCATTATTTACTTGCTACCAGTACATCATGGCATGTACTTCTACCTGTAGTTTACTTCATCAATAATTAATGTATCAATGTAGATTACCAGCAATGAAAGGATATCCATATTGCAACTTACAATGTCAAAGTACATGCATGGGCGTTTCAGGCAACGTACACTAAATACAAAACATGATTCAATGATGTACAGTAAATGCAACACAATAATGCTAAAGTCTCATTATTCAAAACTACACTGTATTTCATGTTTCATTAACATTGTGTGCAATATAGCCATCCCTAATCTGGTTTTCATCAAATCAATCCACAATATCATTACATAGCGTACAAGCTCTAATGTAAATACTGATCTTCATCCGGATACATACATTTCAAATTGCTGTGTATAGCAAGTAGCATGAAAATGTCTAATATGTTTTATTTTCCTGTATTTTTTTCATAGATTTACACACAGTTTAAACAAAGCAACATACTTTAACTAATGGTGAATACTATAGTACATTAATATGTGTGCACATGAATCATAAAACATGTAAGGCACTTTCAATAAGAAAAGAGATCTGGAATTCCCTCCAGAAGAGACTCTTTGAATAGGCATGTTATTAAATAATCAAACACTTACACAAAAGTAGGACCTTGGGCATACACACAATATGTTTTGAGATATGAAGAAAGAAGCAATGGTACAGAATTTAGTTAAGTAGTGTTGAACAAGGATGTTTGGGGTTATAAACCAAGTCGGTGCCATACTACTCTTCGGCAACATAGTGCTCTAAGTGGTCTCCTTCCAAAGACACCCTTAGATGGAATTGCAAGCCTCCTGGTTGCCTACCTATAAGCACAATAACGTTTGCCTCCTAATTAATCACCTAATACCAGATGTATTCGCTTTATAGCTTAAAAGCAATAAGATAATTTTACAAGTAACTGTATATACAGTGGAACCTGTCTATAAAGACTACCCAAGGGAGACAAGAAAAGTGATCTTTATAGGCAAGTGGTCACTAAAGCAGGTTTGACTGTACAATACCAAGAAAATAAGCTCCATCAAGCAAGGAGCTGTTGATGGTATTCTTATTTCCAAGACTTACAGACAATGAAAGAACTTAGTTAGCGCCTCCTAGGACGTTTCCCTGGCCCCAGTTATGACGCCCCTGACCTTGCCCTCTGTCGTCTGGTCGATCTCTCCTGAAAGAGGGTGCCTCACCAAATCCACTTACTCCTCCACGACGATTTGGGAAATATTTGTATCTGTTAGGAAACAGAAGCAATAACAATATTACTATACAGGTCTTTTGCATAGTGCTTATGTCTATAGCACAAATATGATTTTAAAAAAAATGAATTACCATTATTAAAAGCCAAAGCATCGACAATCAGATGATATCAGATTTTTTTTTTTTTTGGGGGGGGGGGGGAAACTAATTTGGGATGCAGTTTTTAAAAAAAATAGACCCATATAGACCCTTTAAAAAATTATCTGAAAAGCTTACATTTCAAGAAATTTCAGAATTACTGAATTCTGAATCCATTAGTTCAAATTTTGTAAATACTGTGTTTTGGCTAGTTTGTGTGTAGGCTAGTTCACTTTATAATCTTACTAACAAGCTTATTCCTGACCTTACTTCTGATACGGTTCTCTATTATACAAATGATGCATGCGCATGAGTTCATTATACGATCTATCCGCACTCGAGTTGAGGCTGTGTGTATCTATGGCACGAAGCCGTTAGGCTGAGTGCGATAAATACACACAGCATCAACGAGGGCGGATAGATCCTATAATAAACAAATGAAAACATGCATCATATGTTTTATACAACAAAACTCCTAGATCCTTGTCATTTGATGAAAAAAGAATTAATTCAAGATTGTTTTGTGTCAGTATATGGCTGACAAATAAATCTCAAGCTTTAATAAGTTTCAATTTAGTGCGCACACATAAGTATAGATATAGCAAGCGCACTTTACCTCTACACCCATTTACGCAGTGCTGCGCAAGAATAGACCCATGCACACGCAGTATTAAGCCCTCTACCCTCTACGAGCACCACTGCGCGCTCCGAAAACGAGTTCAATAGTACTGGAAAATATTGCACTCCTTTTCATGAAAACAAGTGCAATAGGCTCAGTAAATGAATCACACTTGACCGCACGTGACCAATCATTTTAATAGGATCTGGGAGTGAGTTGTATAAATATTAATAAATTAATCCAGAATACCTGAACAAAGTGTGAATGTGGACAGACATGGAGAGAATTACAGTAAAACAGGCCTAAAAATTGAACGTCTAATTTTATTTGGGTAACATTATGAAAAGTTTGATAACTTACAAGAATTGGGGAGTAGAGAGGAAAGCAGTTCCGCCAAAGTCTTGAGGGTACTTGAACATGAGAAAGAAGTAGAGATGACCAACCACAATACCAATCAATTCAGCTAGTCCACTGTAAAAAGGGGGAAAAAAGAAAGGAGATTTGTATGAGTCTTACAGTCATGCGTTGAGAAATTTACAAACCAAGAATACAAATACATAAAAGACCTGGGGGGTGTTTCACAAGGATTCTAAGTCGAACTTAACTCTAAGTTGGACTTAAATATTATGGGAAGCCATTAGCATCCTTGAAAATATTTTGTAAATTTCTTTGTAGAAGGCATAAAATGTTGATTCAAATCATTCATATTTCCTATTATCATGGGAGATTTCATGTTCTTGGCGTGGAATTTATAAAAAAGTCTAAAACACTTGAATTTCTGCTTTTGGATATATTTCATTTTAAGGCTCCAATGGCTGTCCATAATTTTTAAGTCCAACTTAGTGTTAAGTTCTACTTAGGATCTTTGTGAAACACCCCCCTGATCTTTTTACATGCAATAAAGGTACATGTTTATTTGAAGTAAAATAACTTACTACAGTAATTCATAAGGACAAAACCACTAATTTTACTTGTACATTCAATCATGAAGCCTGTCTAATTCCAGATAATACTAAAATAACAATAGCTTAAAAACCACTGTGCATTAAATAATATGTAGAATAAAAATACATCCAAAATAATGTGAGATATTTGCACATTATTTGACTGGTTGTCTCTTGTAAGAGAATAAGATTTTGGTACATACAGAAATTGTCATTGTACAATATCATTATGCTCCAATGGCAATTGTTCTGTGGTCAATTTCTAAAACTAATTACATTCCCCTCGTCAACTCTGGATCAAAAATTATACCTAACCCTAATCACAAACATAACAGAGATTCACAACCTCAGCATGAACCCTAAATAGTAAATAATGCTTGGAGAAAATGTTTTAGAAGCAAGTGTCAAATCGATGTTAGAAAAAAATAGCATACCCTCCTCTGAGAATCCAATTGAAAGCTACGAGGACCCAGGGAAGATACATGGCCTTGAATCTTGTGCCAAACCAGAATGAAACTATTGTATCACGGTTGAGCTGACACCAAACATAGAGGGCGCTAAGTATCATTGGCTCCATCAGCATCTAAGAGAAAGCAGAATAAAGTAATTAGGAATAGATCCGGTCTGTAAGGCAACAGAATGTATATCTCATCAGCTTACTCAATCTGAAAGTTAGTTACATGAAGTTAATGCTAAAACTCTTGTCCTTTACAGTATTTATCAGGAAAATTGTATATGATTTTTAATGTAATTCATGATGTTTTGTATTATGATCTCATGTGAAATATGCAGTCAAGACAATGTAAACATGGTCAATTCAGCATTTGGTTGCAAAGCATTGTAATTGATAACTATCATCAATTAAATTTAATTTAATTGAAAGCATGCTATCTAACAACAAAAAATGTGGTCAATGTCTATTTACACCCTTTTTTATGATATGTTTTCCCTTGAAAGACAATTTAATACAATTCTACTGCTATTGTTAAAAAGAGCATCAATTTCTTCTAACAAGATTAACCAACATAACAAAACGGAACATATTCCATAAAATTGACAACAGAAAGATTAAAAAAACACATTCAACTTACCATTAGAGGTGCTATAAATCCAATAATCTGGTCAAACAAATAGTTAAAGAAATCAGTAATCAATTAAGATCTTTGTGTAAGATCCTGAATTCAAATCTTTTACCTTCTTCAGATGTTTTGGCAGAGAAAAAATATAAAAAAAATATGGAAAAACACACCCATCTTATCATTTATACAAAGTAATCAGGATACACTACACATGTATCGGTATATTATTTGGACTTAACAATGATCAATGAGACAAATTGATTCTATATAACATGGATTGAATTTGCTTAACTGGTCTTTTGTGAAGTGATGTATTATTGTTTCAGTGGCCCAAAGGTGTTGAGCATGTTTTCAAAGCTTCGTAACTGCAAGAAAAAGTACTACATAAAATACTTTTTGAATTGGATTGGATTCTTACTTTGGATGCTTGCTCAGTGAAATGTCTATTATAAACCATTCCTTAAATTTTTCTATATCTACTACAAAGCCCCAATACAAAACTTAAAGTAAAATTAAAAGTTTTGAAATGCTGAAAAGGATACAACAAGGCATATCCAATTGAATATGAGCATGAAAACATAGTCTGCTGGTCTGCCATCAAAGATGCCTACAAAATAAATAGAAGATTGATAAAAAGTACATGTGTAAAAACTGTATCAAAAGGTATAAATACACAATAAGTAGATAAGAAGAAGAAATGATGACATCATAACAAAATTTAAAAAGAATTGGAAAAAGAGTTATGTAAATTCAGGATTGTTAGCTGCATTAAATACACTATTCAATGTACAGTAGTTTGAGCATATGAATGTACCACAATTTCGTAGCTTATCACAACTTGATTGTTAACTGACAATATTTGACTCATACTCTACTAATTTGCACGATCTTTATTATGACCTAAATTTTTCTCTATGGTTTTATTATATAATGAATATGCCCTGCTAATATTTTGTTTTCTCTCTTCCCCTCTCTCTCTTGATAACATTTTAGTTAAGGTAGATGGAGGAAGGGGGGGGGGGGGTGTCCAGACAATTAACAAACAAAAAGCCTCTTCTCTTACCTAGAAATTTAACAAAAATATTCATCAAATAGCACTAACCAACCATCCTGAATATTTGTCCTTTATAATATTGTCCAATATTCAAATCTTAAAAGATTTCAGAAAATTGCTTGTGAACTTAAATTGCTGTGTTAAATCAACTGTCCAGATACACAATCTGTTCAGCAACACAACGTCTGGGTATACTCTATCTAACATTGTTAGTAACAAACCTGTTTCTAATCTTGTCGAGTAGCTGTACAAAAAGTAGAGTTGAATGAGATAATGAAAACCAGTCATTGGAGTGATTGGAAAGAAGAAAACTGCCGTTATTGTCCTCCATATCTGTTTAAAAAAACAAGAGAAAATTAACATTAATCATGCCTCTGAAGCTAATCTTCAGAGATTAGCACTGAATTAACCCTGTTACCGATCATCAGATAGAACGCCGATACCGATCCGATCAGGGGTGATCGGATAATAATTTCCGATCACCGATCAATAAAAATGATCGGAAAAAAATCAGCAAAATGTTCATCATTAAAAAAAAATTTTTTTTTTTTTAAAAACGGCCAATTTTTTTGGTCGATCTTCCGATCCGATACCGATCAAAGGTGCATGGGTGTCACTCCGATCTTCCGATCCGATCAGAGCCCCAACTTACAGGGTACACTGAATAGCTGAGCTGAGGACACTCAACTGCATCACGTCATGTGATTAACATCCTCTATTGTAGGCACATTCATGGGGCACTAGAGGGCGCTTCGGTCGCGTACGAAAATCTGAATGGCCTTGCTGCGGTGGGTCAGCAATAATCAGCCCAAAACTTGGATATGGGAGGTTGGAAGGATATATCTTTTTTATAATGTTATCCGGTCTTACCCTTAACCATCCTATGTTTAATCTTTGTAGGAATAACATGCGAGTATGATAAGAGAAACATTGGGACCATTACTGAAGTAACTTTTAAAATATTAGCCTAGAAATGACCACCAAACGGAAAAAATTGACATTTTTTCCCAACAAATCTTCATAAAATCTGAGTTATAAACAATTCACATCTAGGTACACTAATACAAATACGATTTTCTGAAAATTCAGGTATGATTTTTTAAGTTTCTTTCAAGTATATTTCTGCGCATTGCAGCGCCAATATTCTTCACTGCTTCAAAATCACCCTTGATTTTTTTTTTGCAACGAAATTGATACGAGGTCCGCGAGTGTTCCCCGTTCCTTGCGTGTTGAAAGTTTGGTAATACATAGTTTGCATTGACTCGCGCACGAAAAAATGGTCGAAAACAAAATGTCAAATGAAGAAATAAACAAGCTTTTGTACAGTTATAAGAGTTCTACCGAGGTTTCTTTGTCGATTTAATTTATTATATAGTCTCAATTAGAATTCAGAATTATCTAACTGAAAAGTTAAGAAACCGACGATGTTCTCGATCGTAGTTATTTTCATTTTGCCAGCAGCCGATCTAGCGTTGTTTGGGCAAAAAGCTAGGCCGCTGCCTTCCCACCGCGAACCTTTCAGAGTCCCGCTAAAATGGCGCGCTGCGGAGCTCCGAACGCTGCAAACTCTCAGCCGGCTAGCTCCCCACGACGGACCATTCGCGGTATGGTGAGAGTGTGTGTGTGAGGTACGAGTTTGGATTCGAGAACGCACGTAACGCAACCGTGCGCGTCATTTAAAGCTGTCGAATGTGTACGACCAGTTTTACATGTACGATTTTTAGTACAGATACTTGGTCAGTTTTCTTCTTATATCTTTGGTTTTACAACATTTAAAAATACAATTTCTTCAAATCTGCTCCTGACTCGGTTCAGACTAATTGTCTGATGTGTTTTCAAGTCAATTTTTTGAATATATTTTTTTGCATGAATTTGCCTATCTATTGCAAAATAAAAGCTCTGAAAAGGGCTAGACACTTGCCATTGTGCTAAAAAAAATGTTCAATTGAACTTTACGAATGATCTAGACCCTCATAAGAATAAGAAAAAAGAGAAAAGATAACTCTTTTTTTAATATAGATCTAGGTGAATATTGGAATCCGGGCTAACTCGGCCCACGGGACTACTCGGCCCAGCTGGAAAAACTGGGCCGAGATGTCCCGACCTGATTAATCGATCGAGAGATACCAATGTGTATATGTTTGTGCTCTTTGTGACTTAATAATGCCCTTTCCAACCAAAATCTTTAATGGAATTGTGTTAAATGATACCAATGAAGACAATTTATAACTTATCTTTAGGTAAAATGACAAAAAAATGACATTTCGGACAATTTACTCACAGCTCGCAATCCGCATTGCCGCACGTACATTAAATGTGCGTTGTATCTACTCGGACCACTGAAATTCGAGCAGTGTTTTTGTCGGTAAATCACTGCAAAAATATCATTTTTATCTCGTATGAAGGTCTATTTTTTATTCCTGACACAGATTTCATTATTGAGAAGTCGAATATAGTACATTTTAGACGAGATGGTTGATGTTTGTTCACATTCTTTCGTCCTGGCCGTAAATTAGCAGACTACTGCCTAGTGCTACCGCAGCAGCTCAGCTCAGTGTGCAGCTAGCCGTACAGCGCCGCCGGCCGGGTCGGCGGGGGAATTCACTGACTCGGCGCCCGTACCGGGCCGCTGCACTGCATTGCATGATTGTACTGCCCAATTTGATCGAGTGATGCGAGTATAACTAATCAAACTAGATCTATATTTACTGTATTATCATTATTCATTCCGAGTAGAATATCCAATTTGATTTAGTGAGTAAACTAGACCTAGATCTATATCTACTGTACATAGCTACATCATTATCATATACTCATTCAGAGTAGAATATCCAGGAATGGAATTTTTCTTTTTTCATAATCAGATAATCATATTTTACTCCTAAAAGTTAAAGACTTGATAATATAGCTAGATCTAACGTAAGGGCCTAGCCTACTACTCTAAGCAGAGAAGTGAGCTGAAGAATCGCCTTCTTATTTTTTTGGAGGGGGCTGCTTCAAAAAAATTCTACGAAAAGAATTAAGGTATTGGCTTCAAGTTTTTTGTATAAATAATGCAGCCCCCACCACCCCCCCCCCAAACAAACAAAAAAATCTCCTTTTTGTGCCCTTTTTCTGGGAATCAAAGAGATATATAAAAAGCAAAGCAATTAAGACATGATATTGCAATGCATGCCGGTGCATGGAGGGGCAGGGGCAGAGGCGGACCTCCCGGGGGGGGCACAGTGCCCCCACTTTTTCAGATACCCCAAAAGTGCCCCTTTTTACATAGGAAAGGTGCCCCTTTTCATTTGACAAGTGCCCCTATTACTTAGTAAAAGTGCCCCTTCCCCCTTTTCACCTCTGACGAGTGCCCTTTTTTATTTTTGACACGTGCCCCTTTTCTTTCGACATGTTCCCATTTTCCTTTGCAATAAGTGTCCATTTTCCATTCTCATAAATCTTGAAATAATCTTGAATAAGTGCCCTTTTTAATCTCAAGTGCCTCTTTTCAAGTACGAGAAGTGCCCCTTTTCACTTTTAATAAGTGCCCCCTTTACCTCTGATAATTGCCCTATTCAAAACTGAGAGGTGCTCCTTTTACTTTTCTCCTTTTTTTCCTTTGTAAGAAGTGCCCCTTCTCCTTTTAATAACTATCCCCTTTTTTAAACTCGGATGAGCACATCTTTCATTTTAACATGTGCCCCTCTTATTTTCTAATAAGTGCACCTTTTCCTTATGATAAGTGCCCCCATTAAAAAGAAAGAGTTCCTTCCCCTTCTCATAACTGCCCCTTTTAAAAATCTGTACGGTGCACCCTTTTCATTCAACAAATGCACATTTTCCTTTATTATAAGTGCCCCTTTTCATGTCTGGTCAATGCCCCTTTTCAACTCTGATAATTCCCCTTTTAATAATGATACGTGCCCCTTTTCCTTTCTAATAAGGGAACTATCCCCTTTTCACCTCTTATAAATGCCCCTATCAAAATCTGATGGGTGCCCCTTTTCCGTCAACAAATGCCTATTTCCCATTTTCGTAAACGCCTCTTTGTCATCACTGGTGAGTGCCTCTTTTCAAGTGAAAAAATGCCTCATTTTCACCTCTCATAATAATCCTTTGTACTTTGACACGTGCTCCTTTTCTTTTCTTATAAGTGTCTTATCCCTTTCGATAATTGTCCCCTTTTCATGTAATCATTAAACGTGCCCCTTATTTAAGGCGACTAAGAGCAATTTCCCCCAAAGTTCGCTCGCTGTGCTCGCTCGCATTTAAAGATGATATAATTATGTTACTTATCAAAGGTCTTTTCAGTCTTCCGTTATGAGAATGTGCTTATAACCCCATCACGATTGGCTTTTTTCCTCTTTATAAGATGTAATTTTTCGCACTGCGACCTCATAGATCTTTGAAATTTTTCATGCTCGCTTCGCTCGCTCGTAAATGCATTTTCAGACATCACACCCAACTGTAAAGTTTGATGCTTAAGCGATATCTTGTACGATGTATGAAGAGAAACAAATATTGAAATCATCCCTGATAATGTAATCACAATGTAGGGGTATATACCAATGCCTAAAAAGTTGTATATTTTCGCTTTGAGATTTCCCACTGTAGGTGCCCTTTTTTTTCTCCAGAAAGTGCCCTTTTTTGTTGGTGCCCCCCACTTTGGAAGTCGCTCGGCCGCCCCTGGGCAGGGGGATCTTAATTCTGGTAAGCCTTCTCCTGGACCTTTGGTCAACTGGTCATTAATTTAACCGTTCCTCAAATTTCTAAAAGGCAGCTGCCCCCCCCCCCCCCCACCTCCCATCCATCTCGGCCAGTTAGTAATCAGCAACAGAGGCAAAGATCTATGAGCAAAATCAATTTTTATATTTTTTTTTGGGGGGGGGGCTTGGGGTTAACAGATTTATATCTGATCTTGTGTACCTGTAAGGATCAAGATATAAGAAGCCAAATTTAGTTTTTGTTTTGAGGATACTGTAGATTGACTGGAATTGTTGTACAAACGTAGCTAGGCTTGTCACATGGAAACTACAGATATGATATGATGTGGGCACGGATTCAAGGAAGGAAAACTTTGTTTTACCTACTAAACTACTACTACTATTGCTACTTTGTACATTCCGGTGTATGGAAATGATTGCAGTTCAGTTGAGTGTTAATAAACAAAGAACCATGAAATTACCACATTGTCTCAAGGATCATATGTAGATATCTCTACAGTACCTGTATAAATATGTATACTATAAATAAATAATAAATAAAAAAACAAAATTGCATTACCACAACGTGGCATAAAATTAATACACGATTACACCTGCTTATCATTTGTTATTTTGAGTCAGCTTGACGTCATATTGTTGGAATTTGTATCTTGGAGTCGTAAACAAATAATGTTTATTGCTATTATGTGTGTTTTTCAGAAATGTCCTCATTTTTATTTAATTGTTTTAACTTTATTTATTCAGATTTTTTTTTGCCTTGTAAATTGCATATGAAATAATACGTACCAATACCACAACACAAGGAATGGTGTGGCGTGTCATCTGCATGTTACAATTTTTTTTTGGGGGGGGGGGGGCTGGGGGTTAACAGATTTATATCTGATCTTGTGTACCTGTATATGTACATACTATAAACAAATAATGAATTAAAAAAATAAAATTGCATTTCCACAACGTGGCATAATACATAATGGAGACAATGTTGATGATGTAAGGGATGGAGATGATGAGAGGAATGGAGACGATATTGATAATGAAAGGGATGGAGACAATGTGAGGGATGGAGATGATGAGAGGGATGGAGACAATGTGAGGGATGGAGAATTGGAGATGATGAGATGGATGGAGACAATTTTGATGATGTAAGGGATGAAGAAGATATTGATGATTAAAGGGATGGAGACGTCTCCATCCCTCCCGTCTCCATCCCTCTCACCATCTTGTCACCATCTCCATCCCTCCCATCGTACCGTTCTCGACTCTTAATCCTTTTTCTTCCTACGTCCTCTTCCTGTTTCTTTTTTTTTCTCTTTTTTTTTTTTTGGGGGGGGGCGACTGCCCCCACTGCCCCCCCCCCCCCCCTGGCTACGCGCCTGCCCCTCCAAAATAAAAGAAGAAGGCGATTCTTCAGCTCACTTCACTTACAGTACTACGCTAGGCCCTTACGTTAGATCTAGCTATTTATCAAGTCTTTAACTTTTAGGAGTGAAATATGATTATCTGATTATGAAAAAGAAAAATTCCATTCCTTCATTAATCGAATATTCTACTCTGAATGACTAATCTAGTATATGATAATGATGTAGCTACAGTAGATAGAGATCTAGGTCTAGTTTACTCACTAAATCAAATTGGATATTCTACTCGGAATGAATAATGATAATACAGTAGATATAGATCTAGTTTGATTAGTTATACTCACATCACTCGATCAAATTGGGCAGTACAATCATGCAATGCAGTGCAGCGGCCCGGTACGGGCGCCGAGTCAGTGAATTCCCCCGCCGACCCGGCCGGCGGCGCTGTACGGCTAGCTGCACACTGAGCTGAGCTGCTGCGGTAGCACTAGGCAGTAGTCTGCTAATTTACGGCCAGGACGAAAGAATGTGAACAAACATCAACCATCTCATCTAAAATGTACTATATTCGACTTCTCAATAATGAAATCTGTGTCAGGAATAAAAAATAGACCTTCATACGAGATAAAAATGATATTTTTGCAGTGATTTACCGACGAAAACACTGCTCGAATTTCAGTGGTCCGAGTAGATACAACGCACATTTAATGTACGTGCGGCAATGCGGATTGCGAGCTGTGAGTAAATTGTCCGAAATGTCATTTTTTTGTCATTTTACCTAAAGATAAGTTATAAATTGTCTTCATTGGTATCATTTAACACAATTCCATTAAAGATTTTGGTTGGAAAGGGCATTATTAAGTCACAAAGAGCACAAACATATACACATTGGTATCTCTCGATCGATTAATCAGGTCGGGACATCTCGGCCCAGTTTTTCCAGCTGGGCCGAGTTAGCCCGACTCCATCTAGGTCTATTGACTGTGTCTGCGTTTGACCTATCGGATCCCACGTATTGACATTGCCATCGAACTTAAATTGTGCTTAAGTTAAGTAGGCTCTCTCTCACTTAAATTTAAAGCCACTCGAGCAAATCAGCCAAATGGGAGCGCGTAAACTCACTGGACAGCGCTCAACATGCTCAATGCACAAAATTCTTTGTAGATCTAGAATACGAGTCGACTTAGCTTCGTCAGCCGAAATCATTCATTATTGTTGTTTTTTTCAACAAGGCCCAGAATTTAGTTTGACAATTGATGCACATTCGTAAAAGAGTGCTTATTGCACTTCCTTACACTTAAAAAAAACTGATAATCTGCAAACTGAAGATGGCCTTACCTGAAATCTGTAGAAAACGAGTTCAAAGCTGAGGATCAATGATTTCATGCTAACCAACCCAAATCGGGCAATGAGTGGGACTATTATGGAACCAGTGAACCAATACCGTGTTATCTGCGGAATTCCGCGATACCAGTCCCCTATATCACTTTGCGACATTTTCAGACGATATCTTGGCAATTCAGTAATGTAATAAATTTATTGAAAAATACAGCTGCAAACAAGTGTCAGTCTCTCATTCCCAGCCAAACTTTCAGCAATTCTACGTGTACTTGATAATAATTGGCTGCTTCATAATTACAATAAAAATCACAATACACGTATAATGCGTAGTGCATATGTGTAGACCTTATAATCAGATTAGGGTTCAGCGAATTCCATACTCCCTCTACGTGCATACAACGCGCTAACTTCAAAAATGAAGTGGAACCATTCAAACAGGGCTCATGAATAAAATCATAACAAACAAGGATTACTCTTTCTTTGAGGGACGATCTTTTCAAGAGAGCCGTTATGCAATATCTAGAACTGGATAAAAGAGAATCGGGGAAAATATGGCACAGAAAACCCAGCCCATCAAGTGATAATGGGTAAGTTTCTCGCTAGCTAGCTGAATTTGTACACGATTTATGACCATGCTAGCTCAGCTGTCGCACGACCGGGAGCGTCGGCGTCTAAGCACTTGACTTGCAGCCTCCACTTTCAGCCAGACCATACGAAGAACTTTGCGCATTGAGCGCTGGGGGGGGGGGGGGGGGGGGGGGGGGTGTTCAGTAAAAAAAAAAATCGTTTGAAGTGCTCACTAGATCTACCTGACCCCCCCCCCCCCCCCCCCATGTTGAGCAAAAAATATTGCGATACGTTAACGTTTCGCTGGTTTCATAAACTGGGAGATTGCGGGAGGAAGTGCATGGTGGCGGGAGTCTCCCGCTATTAAAGACTAGCTGGTGGGACGGCAGGAGAATGAGTGTGGTGGCGTGAGACTCCCTCCAAATGCGGGAGCATTGACAGCCTTGGCGCTGTAGGCCTAGGCCTACAGTGAGTTTACATGCTTTCATTGGACGCACACACAGCATTGCAAAGTGCAAACACATACAAATTAAAATAGAAAAATCAACAAGCATCTCAGAATGAATTTCCAGTTTTTACCATAAATAGTCTAGACCTATGACGAAAAGGAGAATTGTTCAAACTTCAAAAATAATTAAGTAACAAAATAAAACTTAAACTTAGGTGAAGAAAAAATCATAACAATCATAATTTTTAATGTAATTAATGTGCTGCGTGACGTACGGGACACTGCAAACCGTACGTCATGAGCACATTAATTACATTAACAATTAATTAAAGAGTTGGTCAGAAATAAAACTTTCCACAAATGAACTACCTATAATAGCCACAGCCTCATACCAAAAGATAGCCATTTAAATAATTTCATCTGTTATTTCTTGTTTAAAGTCTCTGAATGTCCCGTAGGTCACAAACCAATTAGCTTGGACCTGCCCTAAAATGTTGTGACTTTTTTTCTGCAGGTTGATGGTTCAGATCAGCAAGGCTTCCTCGGCTGCTCTCAAGTTTCAAGGTCATACCATTCGTTTCCTGCAGGCTGGATTCGATGCAAGTGGAGATAGGTTTATAGCTGGAGATCATCAAGGACACATATATGTCTTTGATCTCCATAGAAACAGGTACAGTTTAGTTTCTTAACGGTATAACCTAGCACTGTTTAAGACTGTTTTACTGTCATAAAAGAGATCAAACTTACCATCTGGACCATACAATATTGTTTTCAACATGTTATTATTTGATTGATCTTTTGTCTAAATTTTTGCTTTGAAAGCTGATCAGAGTGTCACAGCATAGAATGAATGAAACAGAAGTACATTCATTACAGTGAACTGAATTCAAAGCTCTTTTATCACCATCTTACAAAGCTTTCACATAAATGGATAGTTTAACAGACAAACACAAATTACACAATGAAAACTATGTTAACATCTTCATAAGATAGTGAAATTGTATTTGTCGTAATTGTTGTAATTAATAGCATGATCCAAATTTGTATCATAATTGATAGGACAATTTCTTTTACTTCTTATCTCAACCCATCTCCTAGGTTTCAACTTGTGCAAAAGTTGGGTATTCCATGCACTGCTATAGCCTTCACACTGAGACGTAAAACAGAGTACTTAGTTGCTTTGTCTGACTGCTCACTGAAATGTTATGACACAGGTAAGGAGGATATTTCATTTGAAAACAGCACTTCTATTATTTTGTTTATATTTTAGATGGGTAGCTGCACATGTAGTTTAGTCATAAATAGATAGATATTGATGCTTATTCTATACAGACATTTTTCATGAACCCCTCTTGAGCTTTGCAGAAAGTGTCCTTGTTATAAGTTGTGAAAGTGGGAATAGAGCGATTTAGATTCTTCTGTATTATTGAATTATACATGTATACCATTCATAGTGAGTAATTTCAACACTTCTTCAAAGTGCCTACTAGACTGACAGGTTTGTCTGTCTATTTTGCATGGGATTCGGCTGTCAGAATGTATAGTTTACATGGATATGGCCGCCTGTAATATTAATCATCTGCTTGCTGTATTTCCTTAGCTTCTACATTGTTATCTAATGAAGATAATGATGATAGTAATAATAATTTTTCTTGTTTATCCAGCATAGCCTCATCAATATTAAAACTGTTCTCCCTGGGGGGCCCTGCAATCATTATTATCCCGGCTTTTAATAGCCGAGCTACCAAGATAGCAACTCATTACATGATAAACTCATTAACGTGTAGTTCTGCCTTGTCATATCATTGGTAATCTACAACTTGTAAGTTTAACATCTTCTTTCTGCTTACAATGAAGTGCACCTCTTTCTTTTTGTGTGATTAGATACCAAAGAGATGGTTGCATGGATGAAAGGTCATGAGACGCCTGTCCACTCTCTGTCTGTCCATGCCTCAGGCCGCTATGCCTTGACCACCTCAAATGATACAGCTCTTCTATGGGATCTGGATACATTCACCAGGAAACGCAAACTCAATGTCAAAGATGATGTCAACATTGTCAAAGTAACTAAATGCTCTTGCAGTCTTGGTGTGAATAGGACATGATAATACAGGCAAATGTTCTCTTCATAGGCACTTGGAATGCACTTAGGAGTCACTTAAAATGTACTCAACCATGGGCTTTTAAAACTCTGAACCGAAAAGAAAAAAAATGTTCTTCATATTTAATAAAAAGAAGTGAATAAGTATTCAAAGCTAGATAACCTTAACTACATATTTTACATTCTATATTAATTACATGTAGCAAAAGTTTAATATGTTTGCTTATTTGGCTTCCATAGATAAGTGTATCTATAAGTGTATAGCCCAGCTATATTGCTGTCATTCATGATTTCCCCAGCAACTTCTGTTTACATTTCATTGTTTATATAGAGAGAATGAAATCAATTACCACTCCGTAAGTGGAATCTACACATTTTATTTATTTTTAACCGTTTAGATAACGGACTTCTTCATGGAAATTATATTTTGGGATTTTAAGTCTAGCAAAATCTATGTTCATCTTTCTACCATTCCTCTTCTCCAGGTTTTTTTCCTGCCATTGAGTAATACCATAATGACCTGCTTCCGTGATGATACCATGTTTGCTTGGGAGTCAGATACATTGCAGTGTAAATACCAGCTTCCCATCCCACCCGGTGATAGACCACATTACAAAGCATTTGCTACACCAAGGTAAGAGGCTGATCTTAAATTACTTTAAATTATTTAATTGCAAAGTATGTTTACGCAGAACTTTTTTAAATAGTTACCAGTCATAAATTTGCAGGAATTTTTTTCAAAATATATATACACATACATGTTGCAAGTATCAGGAATCTTACAGTTTATACACCTCCATACTTCTTGCATCAGAATTTTTCCTTTCTTTCTTTTTTAGTCCTGGGACCCGTTTGACAAAGCCTTTTTTCAATGACAAATGACAAAAATCAGTTACAAATCTGCTGAAGACCAATCAGAAGCGAGGATTTCAGTAGCTTATAACAAAAACTGTCATTTGTCACTGATGACAAGTTTTGTGAAACAGGGCCCAGTTCAGATATCAAATTTTCAAAATTGCATGGAATGCATCTGATTACAATTACGCTCTGCTAGCCTGAAAACAAGTGCTTTAATCATATCAAAACATGTTAGCTCTTTTGACAACACTTTATCTCAGTTGAGCATTTAACAGAGAAACTCCTTTTAGCCAGTGATAAAGATTTAAACCTCACAGCTAAGACTAAGCGATAGCTCAGTCGGTAGAGCAGTGGTCTCGTAATCTGGTGACCCGGGTTCGAAACCAAGTCGATGCGCTAGTGCCCTTTGGTAAGGCATTAATCCTCATTACCAGGTCCCTCGGAGAGGACCTAAAGCCGTTGGTCCTCTGGGCAGCGTTTCATGAGACCGTCATACTAACAAGTTCACCGACATCACATTGAAACGCGTGTTAACCTTAATACACGCATTTCAATGGGATGTCAGTGAACTTGTACTTATGACGGTTTCGTCAGACGCAGCCCTGGTTGCTTACTTACAAGCATTAATGCTTTCTTAGCAGTCAGGTAAAATAACCACCATCACCACCACATTGTATGACTCAGCCTTGTGTTGATCATAATCATATCCTTTGTTATATCAGAGATGGGAGGTTGCTAGTGACCGGTGGCAAGTGTCAATTCCTTCACATCTGGGCATTGGATACCAGGTCCCTTCTGAGAGTGATTGAGATGCCATCTAAAGTCAGAGCTGTCAAACAAATTCATTTCCTACCAGAGAGCTTTGATGGAGGAGCTAGTCAGGTAAACAAGAAATCCAATAATTTGTCCATGAAGAATATTTGGAGCTATGAGAAAAGTTGAATTGTGCATATACACAGATTGTTTTTAAAATTCTGTGATTGCCAGAGTAAACCATATTGGTAATCCAAATGTAACAAGGAGCAATGCATCATCTCAAATGGCATTATTAAATGACAAATTCAATTCCCTACATTGTAAAAAGGACAAGTTAAGTAAAAATTGATATCTCTAGGACACCGTCATCGTCCTTGATTGTCATGTGGAACCACATGAGTACTTTTAATGTATTACAGATATTGCTTGATTAATTCCATGATTGGAACAGGAATTGAAAGAGATTGCATCCCATTGCTAGCATTTGACTTGAATTCCACAACATAACTTACCTGTTAAATAATCAGAGCTACATACACCTATACATCATCATCATAGTTTAAAAAGACAGCCCATGTTGTACTGTCTATAACTAATGTAAACTGTTGTTTAAAAGTGGATAACGTTAGTTCTATGAGAGGAGAATTATATATTCCTTTATTGTATTCCATGCTGTAGATGGTTGGAGTCTTGAGCCAAGATGGACTGGTGCGTATCATACACATCCACAGTTGTAAACTACTCTGTGATCTTGGCAGCCTAGATGACCGAGTGGTTCATTTCACGGTCAGTCCCTCTGGACGTAACATTGTGGCCATCATGGAGAGTGGACGTATGAATATCTACAGTATACCTGCCCTCCTGGCTGATTTCAATAAGGTATTAATCAAGAAATATTGGGGTTGTGTTCACTTTAAACTAAATCATCAGTGAAAACTTGATATTTGTTGGAATTAATTTTTTTTTTATTGTAGTATAAAAGTTAGTTACAAGGTCCAGTTTTATTCACTCAAAATCTGGAGGGAACAAACACATCTCTATTTGTGAAAAGAAAATTGATAATTGTATGCAACACTTTACATCTACAAGCTGGACAAGTTATGAAGAAGACTGATAGACCAGTGATACATTTTCCACCAACCTAATGAATTACTTCATCCACACACTGGGCATACACTCAGTTTGATATCATCAATACTTTTTCATAATCTGCTTTTTTGCTTCTGTATTTCATACTTTAAAAGGATGATCTGTGATCGTAACCCACAGAGTTTTACCTTCAGATGGTTCATTTAGAGCCTTTGAAATGGAGTAAGTATCACTATAATTCGTAATGTGGGAACCATTGAAACTGCTTATGATTACATGGTATTTCAGATATTAATATTTACTTCTCTCTATATAATTTTTACACAAAGCCACCACCACCGCTTGTAAAGGCTACGTCAGATCACTCTCGTAGCAGCGTGACCTCTCGTAGGCAAAGGTCAACCTTGCGGTCGATGGCCCCTGGTGTTCTTGGATCTCAGTCTGTGATTGGTTCTGAGGTTGATAAGAAGCAAGGAGGACGTAGCAAGACAGGAAAGACAATGGATGGGACTAGCAGAGTTGGGATGGATGAAGATGATATTGAGGTTAGTAGGATCACTGCTCAGCATTCATCAAGCTATAACATAACCGTTGAGAACTGTTCATATGTCACTGAGAAATTAGATTTCATTATATTTTTTTTTTAATAATAAATGCTTGTGTCAGTTCTGTGGGGTACAATTGATCTTGAATACCTTCAAAATCTGTGATGACAATCTTCAGGTATTGTTCATCTAAGAAAATTGAAAATGGGAAATCATAAGATTCTCTTTTAGATTTTTGAGGGAATCGATTATCAATGTGAGCTACATTATTGTGCACTATGAATTAATTGTATTATTAAGAAATCTATGACATTTATGTACATTTCTTAATACTGTTATCTACACAGATTTCTGCCTTACCAGATGGATTGAGTATGAGCAGACTGGCAGCCATCTTGAAAGGGTATGGTGAATACCCTGCAAAGTACAGGTCAGTCACTGCAGTATGATTATATTTTCTTCAAAAGTTCAGTAATTTTTTTTTGGTTGACAGTATGGATACGATTCAAGGCTCTAAAAATGTTGGCATTGATGACAAAAATTATATTTCATGAAAGAACAGAGCATTATTTTTTAGAACAGCCATGAAACCAAAAAAGAGAGTTAAAAATAAACAAATCAGTTAGTGAGGCCTCCTAACACGGAATTAAATACCCATGAATGGTTGAATGGTAGGTCTGTAATCTTAACAATCATGTCTCCTTTGCTATAACTGTGCCATTGTACTATGGGTCTTCTTGTAAACGGAAAATTATGATGGCTATATCAGATTCATTGTGTTATTGTGTCCATTGAAATGATAGAAGAACTTATTTAACTGTACAATCAGAAAGGAAAATGTCCTGAAAAGTGTTTGAATATGGAATTAAATGTTGGTGTTCATTTAGTGTTGAAATATGCATGCATGATATACTCTTGAGAGAAGTCTGACCAAAAATCAAAACTTGAGAAGCATTTCAATGTTACGATTGATCCTTTGTGACCAATTGTTCCTCTACCTGAACTCAGCGTCAAACACTACATGTACTTCTTTGCATCTAAGTGGATTTTCTAATTTGTATGACTGTGACTTCCAAAACACCTCGACACCATCGACGACAGAACTTGACAAACCATGAAGATACCGTGCAAACAATGCAGGTTCAATCTGCAATTTAATGTAAACATATAAACATTTGTTTAGTCATATGTCGCCATTATAACTCATTTATCATGAAATGATACCCTTTTAGATGTAATAAACTTCACCTCAGTGAAATACAATACTGCAACCCTAGTTCACTTGTTTGTATTAATTCCTATTGTTATTTGCTTAAACCAAGATAAATTGTCATACAATTTGATCTATAATACTCTGTGGGTCTTTCCACACTTGTTACAATTAAATAAACCATTAAATTCCTTCATCGTATATGAACTGAATAGATTGTGATTAATGTAGAAGTCTACAGGCCTATACCTTCATAATCACAACCTTGACATAACAAATCAAATCATGCACTGCACCAATGTTTCTAGTGCTGCATGATAGTAATTTTGTCTCTCTTTTGTAGAGAGCATGCACACTCATTATAATCCAGCTGAGCTACAAACTCCATAATATGCCTCTTATAATTTCATATCGTTCATCTTTACTTTGATAGCTAAACAATACCTAAACGTAAATGCCCACATACGCCTGATTCATTATCAAAGTACATTACACGTACTGACAAGTACATTACATAATACATGCACACAAACCCGTGCACTTTCACATACACGTGCACTTTCACATACACGTGTACTCTCGGCCTTTCATTTATAAGGCATCACAAATGTCACTTAAATCTCATAATTTATAAAGCCAATAGGCTAGAAAGATACATTAAGACTTTAACTTCAAGATAACATGCATAGTTTACTCACATCATTGGGCTTGTATCGAAATTAGACAAATATCAATGGCATCTCCGGTTAACATAACATTTCCGAAACAGGGAAATTAGCAGCACGCCTAACAGCGCCTCCAAGCGGCCAAATCAGTACTAGCTTCTTATTTATCGCTAGTGACGTCACAGTCTTGCCTAAATCTAACCAAAAGGGCTTTCTACACACGACATCCCGGTCCCCTAAATGTGAAGCTTTACTGAACATTTAAACTAACATTCACTATGTACACTGTATTACATTCAGTTAACTCAACTTCATCAAAGAGGTGATAAGATCCCTTTAACTAAAAAACAGAAGTGTCAATTTTGCAAGAAATTGTTCTAAGTTTTCTATACAAATTTACCTGAAATATCATTTAACCTATAATCTTAATTTTAAGAATTATAGCATCACAACAACAACCACATGTAGATACTTGTACATGTATATTGTTTTAAACCAATATTCAACCATTATGCAAATTTATGCAAATCATGCAAATTATGCAAATTATGCAAATTTGCAGTTAAACCAAAACACATCATTGTTAATCTAGCTAAACCACTGCCAATAACAGTTGGTAGCAATACCTGAATTAAACATATCTTTTAACTCTTTCTATACCAGTGTGGTAAAAAACAAATATGCATTTGTTGGCATTAAACTTGGTCAACCACAAATTAAGTTTGTTTACTTCCTTGTGACAAACTTGAATATACTTATTGGTAGATCCCTCTTAACGTCTCCAATAACCACTTCACTTTGTTTCAATCAAACTTTGAACATACATGTCATTGTCCTTTATGACCTTATGCCATTCCTCTAGCAATAAATTGAGTCATTGTCCTTCCATCTGCTATGTATTAACACATCTTCTTTACCACTGGAAGCCTTTACAAACTCAACGTACATGTACTGTATACCAAATTACTAATGCAATGTATTCCAAAACATGCTATATGAAAAAATAATGAAATCATCCTTGCTACAACCCCTTGACATTTTCTGTGTTCGTTCTTAACAGACTGAAATTAGCAAACATGTAAACACCTATTTTTTCTTATTGCTAATTTTGTTTAACAATTCAGCATTCTGCTACACTGTATTTCCAACAAAGGTATTCAAAACTTTGACAAATAAGTCAACACCAGATATTAACCAGAATTTTCCAGAAAATTTATCTGCTAAACCTTGCATATATAATTTGTCCAGATTATAAACAAAGCTAACATGCACCAGCATGCATTAACACCTATACTGTTCCTGTGGGATAAAGGCATTTGAATATTGAATTTTACAAGAAAAATGAAAATTTAGCATTGAAAGTGACATTTAAGACAATAAATAAGCTGAATATGACTGTCAGTCCACGAGTCTTTGAGTCCTTTCAATTTTCAGTCTTTAGAGTTAATCAGTTTCTTGTCAAACGTGGCCGGAATATCTCTCAGTTCCATTCAGTTGTTTAAATAAACTTCTGTAGATCGATTTCGTCGATTTACTATGCTTGTGAACCGCTCAAATGAATCATCTTGTCGTTGCGCGACTCCACATTCCCTTTCCAAAAATGATAAGGCACAATAAAAAGAATCAAATTGGTATTCCTTTTATCACAATCCTACATCAATATATTTGATAATTTCCTATCTCTCAAATTTAGAAATCTCTCCAAAGTAGTTTAAACGTCGGCTTCCAAAACCAAACACAATTTGGAGATTGGTCTCACAAGCACGCTATTCTTTGTCTTGACTTCAACGCTACGGACGAAACCTCCTTTGTCAGGCATCGTCTTGAGAACCCTACCCAACTGCCACAAATTCCGCGGGGCGTTATTATTGACCACAAGCACAACATCACCGACTTGAACATTTCGACGCGATGCTACCCATTTCTCCCTCTCCTGTAGTTGTGGTAGGTACTCCCTTATCCAGCGCTTCCAGAAGAGATCAGCCATGTATTGCACTTGACGCCACCTTCTTCTAGCGTATGTATCAGACTCTTCAGTCATCGTTGGAGGTAGATGTGGTTTCCTATTCAGCAGGAGCAGGTGATTTGGAGTCAATGCCTCTACGTCGCTGGCGTCATCAGAAACCTTGGTGATGGGCCTATTGTTGATGATGCCTTCTACTTCGCAGAGTAGCGTATTCAAACTTTCGTCTGCGAGTGTTTGCTGCTTCGTCAGAGCGAGGATCAATTTCCTCACCGTCCCAATCTGTCTCTCCCAGACTCCGCCAAAATGTGACGCTCCAGGTGGATTAAATGTCCACTTTATGTTCCTCTGGAGTAGTTCTTCATTCAACTGGGCTTTATTCCACCCTTCTATCTCTCGTCTCAATTCCAACTTTGCTCCGACGAGGTTGGTCCCATTGTCTGATCTGATTTCCTTGACATTGCCTCTGCGAGCTATGAAGCGTCGTATTGCATCTATACAAGAGTCTGTGCTCAATGAATAAGCCATTTCAATATGAACAGCTCGTATGGCAAGGCAAGTGAATATCACTCCATAGCGTTTGACGATACTCCGACCTCTCTTTACTTCGATAGGCCCAAAGTAGTCCATGCCTACTCTCGTAAATGGTGGTTCATCAGGAATCAGTCTATCCTTGGGCAAGTCGGCCATTTTCTGTTGCATAACCTTTGCCCTCTGCCGCCTGCATGCAACACATCTCCCCATCATCTTTCTGATAGCCGTTCCAGCACCTGGCAACCAGTATCTTTCACGAAGAGTTGACAACACGTGGCTCCTGCCACTATGTCCCGTCTTCTCATGTACCTCTCTCAACATTAGCTCCGCCACGAGGCTTTTCTTTGGAATAATGATAGGATGTTTCGCCTCGAGTGGTAGCGCTGACCTACTCAACCTTCCTCCAACTCGAATCAGACCTCCTTCTATCTTAGGGTCTAACTTGTATAAACTGCTGGCTTTCTTTACACCATCTGCACCAGTTAGTGCATCCATTTCCTCTCTAAAGAAGCAAGATTGTTCATACTGGAGAATTTTCTGCTCTGCATACTTCATCTCTTCATACGTGATCCTCTTAGAGATCACCTCTGTTTCAACTTTCAACTGTGACTCTCTCTTGGTTCTCAGCCACTTAATGAATCTCCACATCCAGCATACAGCCCTCTTGAGCTTAAACCACGATGAATAGTGGTTAATCATCCTGTCTAAGGCTTTCTCATTACCCGTTTCTGTGCTGAATGAACTTGTATCTTCCTTGGGCAACTTGATTTCTGGATCAGTATCTGAAAGCTCTCCCACTATAAATGGATCAGTAGGCCAGTTCTCCTTTCCTTGCAGCAAGAATTTAGGACCGTGCACCCATCGCTGGTTGGTTTTCAGCTCCTCAGCAGTCAGCCCTCTAGACACGTCGTCTGCTGGATTGGATTTTGAATCCACATAATGCCACTGTTCTGGGCTGGATTTAGTTCTGATTGCTGCAACTCTATTAGCCACGAAAGTCCGGAACCGCCTTTCCTCATTTGTTATGTATCGTATGACGATTGTGCTATCTGTCCAGAAATGAGAACTTCCCACTAGCACATTCAGTTCTTGTCTTAGAAAGGCGTCCAGTCTTACACTGATTGCTGCTGCAGACAGCTCTAGACGTGGAATCGTCGTTTTCTTGATTGGTGAAAGGCGAGACTTTGACATCAACAGCTCACTGTGTACCTGACCATTTTCAGCTTTCAATACTAGATATGATGCTGCCCCATATGCTACTTCAGAAGCATCAGAAAAATGGTGCAATTCATACTCCACCACTTCAGGGAATTCATGGGGTCTTATGCATCTGTTCACTGCAAACTGTTCTATCTCTGGTAGTTCACTGAGCCACACCATCCACTTCTGCTTGTAGACTTCAGGAATAGGATCATCCCATGCAAGTCCCTTTTGACACAGTTCTTGCAAGATCAACTTCCCTCTTACGACGAATGGGCTTGCAAATCCTAACGGGTCATACATCGATGAAACAACACTCAGCAATCCCCGTCTCGTGAGAGGCTTGTCCTTCGGTGAAATCTTGAACCCGAGACTATCTGCCTCAACATTCCAGCTGATACCTAGAGCTCGATCAACTGGTAGGGCATCATGATTCAAGTCGACTCCAGTCAACTCCTTGGCTCTTTCCTCAACAGGTATTGAGTGTAGCACGGTGGGACTGTTACTCAACCATTTCGTTAGCCTGAATCCCCCTTTTCTGAGTAGTTCCCTGAGTTGTGCTGCCAATTTAATGGCCCTTTCTTCACTATCTGTTGACACAAGGCAATCGTCAACGTAGAAGTTTTCACGAACAGTCTTTACAGTGTCAGCCTCATAATCCTGCTGATTATCGACCGCAGTCTGACGAAGGGCAAAACTGCAAGCACTGGGACTCCATGTCCCACCGAAAAGGTGTACACACATGCGATAAACCTGATACGGTTTCGACAAATCTCCCGACGGCCACCACAGGAATCGCAGCACATCTCTCTCAAATGACGGTACTCTGACTTGATGAAACATCGCCTCTATGTCAGCTGTTAATGCGATACGGTCCTTTCTGAATCTAAGGAGTACTCCTGTCAGTTTGTTGGTAAGATCAGGACCCTGCAATACAGCATCATTGAGAGCTACTCCTTTACACTTAGCTGCACAGTCGAAGACTATGCGTACCTTTCCTGGTTTCTTGGGATTGATAACAGGATGGTGAGGAAGATACCATTTCTCTTGTCTGTCCTGAATCTGGACTTCAGTTGTGTTGTCTACACATACTTCCTCAGCATATCCTTTCTCCAAAAGGCTGGACATCCCTTCCTTGTATTTACCCATAAGGTAATCATCCTTGCTGAGTTTTCTCCTCAGTGACTCTAATCGCTGTTCTGCCATGTAGCGATTCTCAGGCAAATTTGGGTTCTCTTCTCTAAAGGGAATAGGCAGTTGATAGTGACCGTTGTCCATGCTAATCTCTTTCTTCCAGAACTCAGATACCTTCTTGTCATTTACTGACATTCCTCTATTATCATCATACAGGTATTCCATTCCTTCTAGCTTCCAGAATTTCTTCACCTGTTCCTCCAAACCAGCATTACTATCGTCTGAGATAAAGCTTGTTGAGACTTGGATATTATCTCGACCTTCTCTGTCTCCTAGGGGTCCATTCAATGTCCATCCTAGAACTGTCCTTACAGCATAGATCTCTCCAGGTCTACCTGCTTTTACCTCAAGGGGCATCAACGCCTCAGGAACATCTTGGCCTATGAGCAATGTGACCTGGCTTCTACTGACGACTGGAAGATTAAGACCTTGTAAATGTGGAGTCTTAGCTAGATCTGCCTCTGCTGCCATATTAGCTATGCTGATATTCAAACTGGGACGTGTGTGAACCTCCACGTCAAGCTCAGATTGTGTGGCAAGTCCCATGACTTTGATGTTTACTGCTTCACATCTTAACCGGCTATTCCTTTTCTCCAAGGTAGAGACAGACAGGATCTTACTCTTGCCTTTAACCTGCAGCTCATCCACCAACTCCTTAAGGCAAAATGAATTTGTCGATCCTGAATCGAGAAGTGCAAATGTCTCTACAACTGTATCGCCATCAGCTGCTCGTACCTTCACTGGTACTATAGGAAGAGCAACTCTATACCTTCCGGCCCCCGTGGCATTACTGCTTGCATGCGAAGAGGAAGCTTCACTGCCGGAAGCTCTGTCATCAGTCTGGGTCATAGAGTTGGATTGACCACTATCTCTCTCTGCTTTCTTGGAAGAAGAATTCCTATCTCCACGGCTAAACATCATCTGCTTCCCGGTATGCAGAAACTTTGTGTGCTTCTGTTTGCAACCCTTCACTGAACAGGTCCTGTTCAAGGTGCACTTAAAGGACATATGCCCTGGCTGTAGACAATTGAAGCAGAGTCTCTGTTCACGAGCAAAGTGGAAACGTTGCTCAGGATTCATATCCTTGAACCGCTGACAACCAAACAATCCATGATCAGCATGGCAGAGAGCGCACTTCTGAGGACTGAGCGATGCCGAGAAGTTTCCTTTGGAAGAATGGTATCGGTTTGGAATCGAAACCTTATCCTTGTCTTTGGCCTTGAAACTGCGCCCTTCTTTCCATCCTCCCTGAACTAGAGCTCCGTAGACGGGATCATTGATCTCTTCAGCAGCATCGTTCACAAATCGAACAACATCAAAGATTACAGGTGACCTTCCGGTATCACGGATTCTCTTCACTTGGCCAAGCCACCGACTCCTCAACTGGTAGGGCAATCTTTCGATCAGCTTCACTAATTCTCTCTGGGTACTCAATTCCTGGAGCACACCCATTGCCTTGAGGGTCTCTGTACAGGTCTGCAGCTCATCAGCAAAATCCCACAGCTGCTTGCAGTTGTTTAGTACAGCTGGGCCGTCCGTAACTCTCCTCAACCAGGCTTCTTCAATCTTGTGAGTGTCACCAAACCTCTCAGCAAGGAGCCCCCTAGCTCTTAGGTACCCTTGATCCGGTGACATCATCATGCAGCACTGGATGAGTTTCTTTGCTGCTCCTTCACAACAGTGAAACAGTCTCATGAGTTTGCCACTGCTGGACAATGACGTGTCCCCAATCATACAGTCGTATGATTGTACAAACTCATAATATTTTAATGGGTCACCATCAAATTTCATTAGTTCGGCACTTGGCAAATTTATGGATTCAAGAAGCTGCTGTTGTTGCATTTGGCCCTGCCTCAAATGACCTAAGATCTCGTAGTCCAAATGATCTCTGGATTCTCTGTGTGACTCATCACTGGCCTTTGGCGTTGACTCAGGTGCTCTTGATACCTCAACGTCAATGTTCTGCTTCTGAGGTGTATCCGTTGCAGGATATGGCAATGTGCTGTCATCATTGACAGACTGAGGCTTGAAGGTAACCTCATCTCCTTCACTAGCCTTGACAAGATCATCTTCATACTGGCGATAGACAAGCTCCTCTGCTTCCATTACTTTGAGCTTTGTCTTCAGCTCCAACTCAGCTTTCCTCTGCTTGAGCCTCAACTCTTCAAGCTCTAACTCCTGGTGCTGTCTAAGAGCCTCCACCTCAGCTTTGAGGACCGCCTTCTTTGCTAGTGCCTTTACTCTGGCACTGGAACTAACAGCAGTACTTCTCCCACTCTGGCTAACAGCAGTACTTCTGCCACTCTGGCTAACCGAGTCCTCCGGTTGTACTTCACTCATGTTGACTGCTTGGTGACTGCTTGGTGACTGCTTGACGTTCTCACTTATCCAAGTTGATATTGAACTTGATGTGACTTCCAAAACACCTCGACACCATCGACGACAGAACTTGACAAACCATGAAGATACCGTGCAAACAATGCAGGTTCAATCTGCAATTTAATGTAAACATATAAACATTTGTTTAGTCATATGTCGCCATTATAACTCATTTATCATGAAATGATACCCTTTTAGATGTAATAAACTTCACCTCAGTGAAATACAATACTGCAACCCTAGTTCACTTGTTTGTATTAATTCCTATTGTTATTTGCTTAAACCAAGATAAATTGTCATACAATTTGATCTATAATACTCTGTGGGTCTTTCCACACTTGTTACAATTAAATAAACCATTAAATTCCTTCATCGTATATGAACTGAATAGATTGTGATTAATGTAGAAGTCTACAGGCCTATACCTTCATAATCACAACCTTGACATAACAAATCAAATCATGCACTGCACCAATGTTTCTAGTGCTGCATGATAGTAATTTTGTCTCTCTTTTGTAGAGAGCATGCACACTCATTATAATCCAGCTGAGCTACAAACTCCATAATATGCCTCTTATAATTTCATATCGTTCATCTTTACTTTGATAGCTAAACAATACCTAAACGTAAATGCCCACATACGCCTGATTCATTATCAAAGTACATTACACGTACTGACAAGTACATTACATAATACATGCACACAAACCCGTGCACTTTCACATACACGTGCACTTTCACATACACGTGTACTCTCGGCCTTTCATTTATAAGGCATCACAAATGTCACTTAAATCTCATAATTTATAAAGCCAATAGGCTAGAAAGATACATTAAGACTTTAACTTCAAGATAACATGCATAGTTTACTCACATCATTGGGCTTGTATCGAAATTAGACAAATATCAATGGCATCTCCGGTTAACATAACATTTCCGAAACAGGGAAATTAGCAGCACGCCTAACAGCGCCTCCAAGCGGCCAAATCAGTACTAGCTTCTTATTTATCGCTAGTGACGTCACAGTCTTGCTTAAATCTAACCAAAAGGGCTTTCTACACACGACAATGACTTTTTCTTGTAATTCTTTCCTTTCTATTTAAAGCGCATAGGGACATGCTATCCTGTAATGTGTTATGCGCTATAAAAGAACTGAGTATTAGTATTATTATTATTACCTTGTTAACAGGATGTTCATCTGGAGATCAATGCTTAGATTACCAGAGAATCATGTTGCATTCAGTACCTTGGTTGATAAAGGTAGTCATCTAGCCTGGGCTAAGGTTCATGAGAACTATCCAATCAAGAGCAGGAAACTCCTACGTGTGCTTCAGAGGTGACTAGCAAAACTTGATAATGATATTACATTATCGATACTTGTAAAATCCTATCGTCATTCTACCTCACTTGAGATACATGTATACAGACCTGCCAACCAGTACGATTTAGTCGTATTTAGTATGATTTTTATAAGCAAATACGACAGTACGATTTTCCTCAATAAAATATGATTTTCAAAAAAAAAACAATATTTTTTTTAATTTTTTTTTTAAATAATTTTTTTAATATAATTGTTTGTGTATATGTGCCATTTTTAATGGCAAAATTACCATTCTGTCCTGTAAAGTATCCTACACGCATCTCACATCGGCAATTTGGGGATGTTCATTGGTTCATCGAACACAACAGTCGTGACAAAATCATGCATATTCAACCAATGATCCATTGAAAAATTTCTTCCTGTATGTAGGAACGGTAAGAGCCATTGATCCGCACAACAGTCTGTGTTTATTTTTAAGAATACAACTTTTGTTAGTAAAATACAAATTTTGGGATTGAAGAATACAGTTTTTGAACTCCAGAGGTTGGCAAGTCTGTGTATATTATTTTCGATGCATGACTATATCTTTGTTTTGATTGTTAATTTTTATTTTGGTTTACTGTCAACTCAAAAATTATTTTATTGATTTTTGTATGAGTGTATTATGTTAAATATATGTGAATCGCGATACCATGTAACACAATGAATTTCCATTGTTAAATGGACAATAAATATGAACCTTGTGAACCTTACCTTATATCTGCAAAATATGGGGAAAGTGTTATAGTTCATAGCAGTAGCATAATTGTTTTTCACTGTACAATCTGAAACTTATTATTGAATACCTGTCACTCCATGCCATATGAATTTGTAGATTTATAACTATAGTCTGGGAAACATACTCACATATCATTCACACCCCTGTATGTGACAAGGTATCCACATAGATAATTTGGCGGGTCACTCTCGTATGTGAATGAAAAAAAGTTCATTTTTCAAATTGTTTTCAAATTGTCCTATTCAGAAGCCATCTTACCCTTTGGACCCACTCTTACCAACTGGTTCAATAATTTGAATTATTGTCATTCCCCAGTATTGTAACATTACATTACACAAGTATTCAGTCTTTATTCATTATCTTGATTAGATGTTTACTCTCCCTCCCTCCCTCTCCATCTCTTTTTTTCTTCTCTCTCTCTCTCTCTCTCTGCCTCTCTGCCTCTCTGCCTCCCCCCTCTCTCTCTCCCTGACTATCTCTTTTGCTTAGTTTTTTTGATTACTTTGTCCTTTTGGTTTTCTCATCAGAACCCTATCAGCTTTAGCTCACTGGTCAGCATTGTTTGGTGAGATGGATTATCTCCCTCTTCTATCCTTTCCTTTCATCAAGCTCTTCCAGAACAACCAGCTTGTCTGCTTTGAAGTCATTGCAACCATCCTTGGTAAATCAAATCATGTTTTCATCATGTCTTCACCATCCAACATTGTTTCAGACACTGTGGCAATAAATATTGATATTTTCCGTAGTATTTCTCCTTCTTATAATTTTGTATATCATGCATAGCTATCTAAAACTGACAAATTGTTTAAATATGACACCAGTCGTTGGTTGTCAATATCAGTGAGTGCACACAGGGGTCCTGCTAAGCAGTCATTGAGAACCTGCTCAACGGTCTGAATTTGACCACGTGGACACAGGTCAGAGTCTTTGAAACCCTAGAGCTTCATGCTTGCAGCAAAGTGGCCTGCGCCTGATCATAGGTTGTTCAGCTGAACCCGGGGCTTCTTTGGAAGATTGCTGCCAGGAGGGTGAGAGGAACAAGCTTTATGATTTGGTGCAGCCTCTCAGGGGTAGCTGGTTCTGTAGCACCAGCAAACTCAGGGTATTTCTCCTGATAGACATGATTAGTTTCAGTTTGGTTAAGTCTTATCTGCCAATGACTCATCATCAACAAGTTTAAGGGAGTCCTGCATTCTTGAATAATACCTTCTCTCTTGTCAAGACATTGTAATAATGCCTGATTAAGAATTCTATCATTTGAGTCAAATCATTGTATGGATGTTTAAAGTAATCTTGTTGAGATGTGTAGGTTTTTATATTGAGTATTCATGACTGAAAGCTTTTGGTGTACCCTACTTGGTGTGCTACATATTCAAGGTCCTAACCCTCTTTTTGTTTCTCCAACAGTGAACTGGTGTCAGCATTGGTTTGAATACTTCCCCAATCCACCCATCAACATCCTAGGTATGGTGGAGAATGTTCTGGCCTACCATGACAGGAGACTGCTGGAGCACTTGGTCGCCTATGATGTCACTTCACAGGTACAACAACAAGAATGCAAATATGAACATCAAGTGTTCATCTGAAAGAATTCATTGAAAATGAAGTTGTTCCATTTTTTGTATGCAGATAGTATACAGCTGATAGATCTTTTCTGACTACTTCTGTGGTTTCATGGCTGTTCTAAAAAATAATGCTCTGTTCTGTTCTAATAAATCCTGAATATCTTTTTGACAAGTTCCACTTGTTTTTCATGCAATTACATACCGAGTACGATTAAAAAAATGTCACCTGTTATTCTTCTGATCCTACTATGAACCAACTAAAATATTTTGCAAGAATCTTTTATTTTAGCTTGTGTTATCTAAAGAGTAGTGATCTCTCTATTGTTTTTGTCATATTTTTGTCAGACTACTTTGCTTTCCTCCCTGGTCTTTTTTCTTTTCTTTTTCTCATTTGGATTTTATTTATCTAGTTCATTCCTGTGCAATATTCATTCCTGCCTCATATTGTGACAAATTCAAGACGTACCTGCCTTTTTTTCACTATTTTGTTGTTGCAGTTGTATGCGTGGCCGATCATGCAGACGCTCTTCTCAGAGGTAGTGACGAAGGAGGAATGGCTGAAGCTCTTTGATCATGTCTTCACCAATCATCCATCATTCCTGCTCCTACTGGTCGTAGCTTATCTCACTGGATCAAGAGTAGCCTTGTTGGCATGTACCAATAAGGATGATTTCAAGGCAAGGTTTTTAACATTTGTTGTGAAAAATATCTTGTAATCTTAGCAAGGTTGTTGCCTGCCATAGTTGTAGTTTTGTTGCTATGTAACAACAAGCTATGCTTCTAGTTAGTTCCTCTTTTTCTAATATTTTTGTTGTTTCATTGCATATTTTTGTAATATAATTATTATTTGTATTATGTTTTACATAAGAAATAAAATCATTTGAATCATAACGATAAGGACAATTTTATTTTGTTCTTTGTTAAATTTAAGGTCAGTTACTTGATTGAAGACATTACTATAATGATATTACAAAACCTGACAATATACACATTAAGAAGGTCGAGTCATACCTTGACGTGACTGCTAGAAGTATTACCTCTCTAGGCTCTCTAACAGAGAATGCTCAGTTTTGAACAAACCTCTGTATTGCTCTCAACTATAAAGCTTCTATGGTCAAGTATTGCCTTCATAAAGTCACCAAGCTGCACTCCTTCATGCAAACAGGACCTCTTTACAAGCTGTTTGGAATCTCTTGTGACTGTAATCTAACTTCCTATCATCAGTCTCTGTCATTAATGTGAGTGACTGTAAATTCTCACTATGATTTCACAGTACTTCTTCCATCACCGCAATGCGATTGACATCAACTCAGTGATTAGTGAGGCCTACCGTATCCAGGAAGGTACCCCTGCTGACATTCATCCAAAGAAGCTTCTAGACGATCTCCAACCACTCACCAGAGGACAGTATCCAGTCTTCAATAAGTATCCCAAGTTCATTGTAGACTATCAGGTTAGTACTAAACATCTCGTCTGTGACTCTCAGTTTATACCAAGCTGTACAGAGGAAAGACAGGTTAAAGTACAGGTCAATTCTCTCACTGAAAGAGGGACATTGTTCCACGTTTTTGAGGCAGCCACTGTAAAATACTTTTCGATAGATGAGATGAGAGTGTAGATTTGGGAATAATTAACTTATATTCTTCAGCTACTTAGCAAAGGTTAGGAGCTGGTGTATATATTTGGAGTTCTACCCTGTACCCTGAATTTCTACCATGCTGTCAAATTTTATAAGAATCTATTATTGCTCTGGTATGTAATATGTATTCTTCAAATATATAATTTCCTGTTCTGTAAAATAATAATAATGATAATAGTGAACATTTATAATGCACCATGTCTGTCAAAAATGACACTCCTGTACACAAGGTTTTGAAAATGTTGTGCACTTTTACACCTATTTTATGATTAAACCCAAGTTTACAGATAACAAACAATTAAATAAACTGAGATCAGATAAGGAATATGGTTTTAATGAGCTGATAGCTTTATAGGTTTCTTTCTTTCACTATTGTTTTGCTTGCTTGCTTGCTTGATTGCTTGTCCGTAATACTGTACATGCTTTTTCATACACTGTTAAATGTTTCAACAATTGCTTTTGAAGCTTTTATTGATGATTAAAGGAAAGTTTAACAATGTTAAATCTGAGATGAATGGCCCTACGTGTTATCAGTGTCTGTGATATGGTGTAATATTGAAGCCCTAAAAAAAATTGGGCATCAAAATGATAATGTAGTGCCTCAAAAAAAAAGTAAAAATCTTTGAGTGAGCGGTTTTACCATACTCATGTTCCCCAATAGACTGTAGTGTAATAAAAAGCATTAGGAAAACAAAAAATGAAGTTTCGATTTCCAATCATAAATATCTTGATAATCAGACAGGTGATCGGCTTGTAAAAGTCATGAGGTTCCTAACTGACCTAAAGATTTATAGCTATGATTGCAGCATGAGCTAAATCCAGGATTTTGTTTCAGAATCTGAGGCAATGTTACTGAGTCACTTTAAATGATTTGCTTGATGTTTAGTCCCAGGAGAGGGAGAGAATCCGTGAGGATGAGCTGGAGTACCTCCACCAGAGGGAGGCAGCAGCTGAGCTCCATGCGGAGCTCGGCAGGAGACGAGCTGAGGAGGAGGCATGGTATAGACAACAGGAGCTACTCAAAGAGGCTGAGGAGCAGAGGAGAGTGCTCATCGCAGAGGAGGAACAAAAACTGGTGGACCAAAGAATTAGGTAAGATGTACATCCAGACAGATCATAAAGGGATTGGAGGAAATGAAATTAATCAATCGTTAGTCAAGATTGTTTAGAGTCAAGTGGGCTCCTGGTTAAGGGCTTAAAAACTTGTAACACTTTGTCAAAATTGCTTACATGTGCATCTTACTCTTAGACTTTGTGCTTATTGAATATATATGTTTAAGTGATATTTGTTAACACTGATACTAAATCTGTTGTGACTGTTTATCAAGATGATATTGTGGTCTTTGGTGTGTGACATTCCTGATGTTTTGATCGGTTGATTGAATACTTTCTTCACTAGACTTCAGGCAATGAAGCGTGAGCTGCAGATGAAAGAACTCCAGTTATTAGATGGGACTCAGAGGAAGTTTGTTCATCATCAACAGAATCAGCAAGAGACTCAACTTAGGAGACTAGATGATGAGATTGCAAGGAAGGTAAGAGAGAAATCCATTAGTCTTACCTTCTTTCCCGTTCCCTCTCTTTATTGTTCCATCACCATGTTGGTCAATTCGTTGGTTGCCCGGTAAAAGGTCGCGTAGCGTGTGCGCTTGTAAATAAGGGGGAACCGAGAAAAACGCTTTTGAAGTTTATACACCTACTTCAAGTGCTTAAAACGACAATCTTTCTATGTTCCATGAAGCCAAAACTATTCTTAGAGAAAGATATTTACCAGATTTATTATGTTCTCAAATATAATTTGCAAATATATCTTTCTTTCGCTACACTACCTTATGCTGGAAACAAAAAAGCCCAGATGCGCAATGTAACTTCCCGGGAAAAAAGGTAGTGTAGCGCTACGCGGCGTTTTGCCGGGCAACCGGCAATATAAATTTTATTCTTAGCTGTTTTTTTTTGTCTGAAACATCTTCTACTGGTAATATGTTCCATTATACTGAATAAAAACAATGCTGACTCTTTGTCATTCCTTTTCTCATTTTAGAGTATTTTGAGAGAGCAAGAGACTCAGGCTGCCATGGATGATATTGAAATCAGACGAATGGATCTTGAAGCACAGAAGAAAACGCTGGAACAGGTAAAGAAAACCAGGTGTTTATTGCTGATGGGTTCTTAATGACAACTGTGATGATGATGAGGATGATGAGGATGAAGATGATGATGATGATGATGAAGATGATGATGATGATGATGATGATGATGATGATGATGATGATGATGATGATGATGATGATGATGATGATGATGATGATGATGATGATGATGATGATGATGATGATGATGATGATTATGATGATGATGATGATGATGAAGATGATGATGATGATGATGATGATGATGATGATGATGATGATGATGATGAAGACGGTGATTATGATGGTGATGATGAGGATGATGATTATGGCAATGATAATGATGAGGATGATGATGGTGGCAGTGGTAATGAAGCTGATGATGAGGATGATGGTGATGATGATAATGTGGAGGAATGTGATAGTGAAACAGCCTCCTTTGAAACTAGAGTTTGGTAGTGCTAAATGACATTTCTGTTGCCCCATCTATTTTAAAGAGGCCCCATTCGTCTTAATGTTTGGCATGTTGTAGATTGAATGCATGTATTCAGGAGAGATTTTTCTTTGTTGTGCAGGAGCTTGCAAGGACTGCATCATCTTCCACCTACCAGCAGCATGCGGAAGCAGAGATGAGGAGAAAGAGAGAGGAGATGGAAGAGAGACGGCAAGTTAGACAGGTGGAGAATGAGAGAGATAAGTTGCATGCAAGAAGGAAGGCAAGTATTTAATGTGTAGTAGTAGTGGTGGTTATTTTACCTGACTGCTAAGAAAACATACATGCTTGTTAGTAAGCAACCAGAGGACCAACGGCTTTAGGTCCTCTACGAGGATTGTGTATACATGGTTGTTGAATGGAGGTACAAGGGATAGAGGTTTTCAGAAGACCATTAATTGGATACTGAAGACATTATTAATATTATGTGTGTATTATTTAATTTATGTACATTCTATGTACTAAATGACTATGTAAATTTGATCCTGATTGTAGATTGTCCAGTCTGATGTAGCAAGAGCCAACCTGAAGCTAGCAGACACTTCCATGAGAAGAGATGAAGAAGTGCGGAGAAGACTAGATGATCTGGAAAAAGAACTTAGAAGTGCAGAGGTAAGTTCTGCTCGTTTCACTTTGTAGGAAAACTACCAAAAATGAGTATTGTTGTTAATGATATCTTGCATTTCATTGAAGCTGACATGTAAAACATTTGAGCTTTTAAAAAGATCTTCAACTTTATGAATCTCTGAAAATTTGCTGAACCATGGTAATCTAAAGTAGAGAACATACAAAGACTTATGTAGTATTGTGTCTTTATTTTAAGAGGTTATAAGTTTCTCCTTTACTAGCTGACAAGACTGAATGGTGAATATAAATTGGTATCCCCTTCAGGAAGGAAAGGGTTAACTCCAACATTCATGACATTCCTAAGAGTTTATTCTTTCTTTTTATTTCTTTGCCACTAGCTATCCAGATTGAATGATGAGAACAGAGAGATAGAAGAAGAGGTTCAGACAGTGCTACACAGGCTAGCTGATGCAAAGGTATGTCCTAACCCAATCATAACAGCAGAGATGAAACAAACATGCTTTCTAAATACTTTGTATGTACTACCGTATTGAGATTGATAAACCAAACACCCATTGTGTAATATAGGGCCATTAGGATTGAATTTGCTTGATGGCTAAATTGGGTTCGTAATTAATTTATTCAGGTCTGCAGTTGACTTGTAAGTAGGAATAAAGAGCAGTAAAATCAATAAAAATCAATTAAATAATCAAGACACACTGAAAATAATGAGTACTTAATGTGCAATACTTTATGGTTGTATCTCCATTGTCATACTTCTCCAAATGTGTAATACCATTTTTTTTTAAATGTTGTATATGATCCAATCATGTTTAATTTGACTTTACAGCGTGACCATGCAGTTCGTCTTCAGCACGAGTATGATGATTTGAGATCTAAGTCCCAACCTGGCCAGCTTCTATCTTCACTACAAGGTAAAATGACTTATGTGCTCTGTATTCAGCAACTTGGATGTCATGTCGTAACAGATGGGATTTTAAAAATATATAAAAATAATCAATTTTAGCATGTGATCGAGTTGGAATACCCCCTGCATTATTGCCTGTATAATTTCTTGATGTTGATACCAGCGACTTCTTTAGGTTGGTAGTGAATTTGTTTTTAAAAGATGTTTTATCAGGTGTTTTAAAAAAGATGTTTTATCGGGTGTTTTAAAAAATATATTTTATCGGGTGTTTTAATGCTTAGTACTGGTCATGTTTTATACAGGTGAGAGGAGAGAAGGTGAGAGAAGAGAAGGGATGCCTATCCTGAATGATATCAGTACGTCTACAGAAGGAGATGTTCCAAGTAAGTCAATTCAAGTAGATGCTTGTGTATACATTTATTCAAAGGCGAAGTCCACCCTGATATTAATGTAGTTTTAATAGAAGCAGAAAAATGAGAACAGCACCTTTAAACATTCATAACTTTCTTATTTTTAATTGGAATTTACTCAAATTTTCAATGACCTGTTCCTCTCAATTTTCTACTCCTATTAAAACCAATTTAATAGCAAGGTGGACTTCCCTCTCATATGACCGTCTCACAAAATTATGACCTTGACACCGAGATCATCACTAGTGGGATCAGTATACGTCCACTAATTCACCCCCCCCCCCTTCTATTCTTAAATAAGAAGAAGGGTACAAACAATCAAAATAAAAACATGTCCCATCAAAATTTATTGAATATCACGACTCATGAAAGAAATGTCTTTGCAGTCTCCATACCCAGCTTGGACTGCACATGTCATTGTCCCATCTCACAAGGTTCTAGGTTCCTTGCCAAACCTATATACACCCTACTGAATATTTTAGAAGAAAAGCTGTATTTTCAGATATGTACCCAAAGTTCATTTTGGATCAGAATAAATGGATGTAATTAGGATAAATAAATGTTTAATATAACCAGTGTAAATATGTTTTTGTCTTTCAGTATCTCTTGATCGAGGAAGACAGACATTTGAGGAGAGAGAACGTAGATTGTTGTACGAGGTCCAGGAGCTTAGGAGGAAGATAGCTACAGAAGCCATTAGAAAGGAACCACCACCAAGATATCCAGGACCAGACAATGACTGATGGGAAAGACTAGCTCTTGGGGTTTCGTGTGCCGTTCGTGGTTGAAGGTACCGCCACCTGTTTGCAGTGGGTCATAGATAAAGCTTTTGATTTCATACATGTTCCTTATGACAAACACATAGAATGCATGTCTGATTTATTTATTGTAGAACACGATGTATTTCCATTTTGTATTTATTAATGAAGTTACTGAATAAACAAGAAAATGGGTGTTATAAGTGTCTCTGAGTCTGTCAGGCTGGAACTGCATTTTTTTTTTTACACACAGTTCTTCCATTCATAAAGTATTTTGCAGAAATATTATTTGAGGCTACCATTGCATCCCATAGGTCGGACACTTGTTCAAAGTTTAGTTAATGAATAAATGGCAGACAATATTTTCATGGGCTTGTTATATTAAGCTGTGTTAGTGTACACTAGGTCAAGCATACTCATGCACACTGATTTTACAAGGTGTTTTTTTTCCCATTCAGTTCTATTCTTCATGATCTTTGGGAGTTCCTGCCTTTTGTTAGTGTAATTGATCTAAAAAGCTGGTCATCCTTCCCATGTGAATTTGAACGGATGTGATTGTGCTCGATTACAAGCTGTATCAATATTACTGGTACATGAAACGTAATTGACATATCCATTACCATTTTGACTAAAACACACAGATCAACCCCTAGAATTCATTCAACAAGGTCATGTTAGGAACACAAGAATGGTTTAAAGTACAGAACAACTGATCATAATATAAGTAGCCACTTTGCTGAAATACCTGTGCAGTTTCTAAAAATAATATTTCATTTGTTTTATGAAAAGGATATGTTGCATAACATAAAAAACAGCATGCAATTAAAAAACAACTAATTAACCACTCAAAGAAGACTGTAAGAGCTTCTTGGGTTTATTACTGATCTGTTGATACAATGATGGTGTAATGGAGAGCAAATTCATTCTATAGCAAGATATCTGAGTTGAAGAAAAGCAAAAGTGTAAATTACAATGTAAAATGAGTAATTTACCCAGCCAAAAGGTAGTTTGTGTGTAAATTTTATACATAAAAGTAAATATAGATAGTGTACAAATAAACATGTAATGCTGATGTATAAATTGAAAATACTATGTGAAATTTGAAGAGAAAAAAAAAACTACTTTCCAGGTTGTTGTGAAAATAAACTGAAAATACCTATACAGTGTGATATTATGGAGTGTGCATATTTTGTGTCACAAAAGTTACCAAATCTCAATCAATACAGAATAAATGTACAATGAAACAGGGACTTAAAAGGAGGAAGTTACATTTATTAAAACTTTACAAGTAACATTGCAAGATATGAAACAACATTAATGAAGTTTATGCTCAGCATAATGGCAAATCAAACAATAGTTGATTTAGGTCTTGCTAATTTTGGTACATATAATGCACAACAAAATTTATCCTTTTATGCAAGCAAAAGAAAAAATGATGAACCAGCATGGATGCAATGGTATGAGATTCCTAAGTGAGATGAGAGATGCTCTTTTCAACTCTATACAGGCAGGCTGTGCTCAACCAATGGAACAGTAGGCTGCCACAGTAGATATTTATTTATCATTACCAGTGGCAGCGAAATTGGGATAGGCCCTAATTCAAGGTTGTTTGACTTACAAATGGGTATGATGATAACTTGTATGATTCAAATTTGTTGCACGTATTTGCATAACATAAGAAGAAATAAGTTAACCAAAAAATGAAAAAATGTGTTGTGTAGTCCTATGCAGTATATGACTTCATTAAGCCAAGTTCAAAGAAATAGATATTAGATTCTCTCTAATCTGATATCGGTCACTTTAACAAGAATAAACTAAATAAATAACATTCATAAACAAAACAACAAATTTCTGTGAAGACAGTAAAGAAAACTGATATTTAGAAGATCCAATTCTGTAATGATCAGATACAGGAATTGTTATCTTGCCGCTATTCAATGATGTCATAAAAGTATGATTTAAAGGTTGATGAAATACCTCCTAGTAATTGTATAGTGCATACAATTCAAAAGCAACCATGACACATGGGCATATCAAAAGCACTTAGTTTCAATATTGTGATTGTCACAGTTTTTAAACAGTTTCATGGTTGCAGAGATTTCAAAATCATTTAGCCTTGACAGATTGAATTTACAAAGGAGGTTTGTTGCACTCCATCATCTGAATCATGTTTCAAGGTTCTCATGTTGACTAAAATAACCACATATAACATGCATACTTCCTTTTGACATTTGTTGCCTTCACTTACCAAATGTGTAGTAATTGTCATGCTGAAATTCAATGCAATTTTAATATTTGGTGATGACTGAATATGCCCATTATTGACCTCCTACTGGATGTGAGGACATGAGCGTACTGTGTTTACAGAGATTGAAATCTAGTTTGTGAATTGAGACCATTAACTAATTGTAATTGCAGGGCTTGTGAGCATTAGTTTACTGGCAAGTATGCTTGCTCTGGGTGCATGATGATGGCTTTCTAGAGAACGCTTCTAATGTTAGTCCTTGATCAGGGAGAAGAATCAAGGCTGACTTGCAGAAATAGACATTCCTCTACAAAGAGATTGAGAAGATAAAACAGTGAGAGAATGATAATGAGGGAGTTAAACAGAGATACAGAAAAAAAGGAGAGATATAGGTCACAACAGGGATATGTGAGTTTTCCCTGGTCACAAGGTGGATAGAGAAATAGAGAGAGACAATCATGAGAGAGGGAAGGAAAAAAGATTTTATAGGAATACTGACACATCTTTCATAAACTGCTTGATACAATTTGCTGTATCAAAATTAGGCCTTTGGATATAGCATGTTAAAATCCCATTTTAATCAATTCTTAATACCCCAGTCGCACTGACGAGAAGACCCGACACCAAACCAACCAACAATAGACTGAACAAAACAATGATAGTACCCTGAATGGCTATGAGTGGGTGTGTATGGGGTCAGGTCTGCAGTAGGACTGAAGTATAAATCAAATCATTATACATACATTGTATGCTTCAAAATGTTTTATTGACATTAATATACTGACACCAAGCACATGTAGTATGCTTCCTGTTTTTAGATTGATTTTCTTCTTGATTTACATACCGGTGGATGTCCTGCATAGCACTAAATATTTCACTGAGTCATTAGATTATGAAGGCATACATCATAACTATTCAAGTTCATTTATTCAAAACCACACGACATGATATAATGTTTTACATAAACTAGATGGAACTTTGACTGCGTGCAGTCGAAAATGATGCCTCCGACATAGAGCAATTTCACGAACCAAAACAGAAGCAATTTTTCAAATTCAGGTTCAATTGTAATCCATGAACAGGTTCTCAGAATATCGTGATTACAAGCTATTTTTCATATACATGTATGACCCTTTGAACTTTGACCTCATGACCCTCTGATTTAATCAGTTCATGGGCTCTGTAAGATACATATATGTACAGAGTTTGATAGTATTCCATCCGTCAGTATTGACAATGCATTCACAAGATAGTTTTGCATACATGAGCCCCATGACCTTTGACCTCATGACCCCAAAATCTAATCAGTTCATTGGCTTTGCAAGATACATATATGACCCAAGTTTGGCGGTAATCCATCAAAAGGTTCTTGAGCGCGATCATCAGCTATTTTTGCATACATGAGCCTGTGACTTTTGACCTTTGACCTCGTACGTACGTACATACTTACGTATGGACGGACAACCCGAAAACATAATGCCTCTGGCTACTTTGTAACAGAGGCATAAAAATGTTCATATAAATCATTGACGCCTTCCAGTGAAGGCAGAGCCTGCCAATCAATTCCAGCTAAGCGTTGCTTAAACCTTGAGATTCTTTCATCATTTATTACCCGCTTCATAACTTAACAGAAGTTTCCACAGTGCCCTTTTTTACACAAAAGATAGGCATTAGGCATATGATCTGTGTGTCACTACTGTTCAGATTTGGTCCTACAAAGGAGAGATGTATGATGCCTCGGTGCATTTCCAATTATAACGCCTCGTAAAGGTAATACACTTTTCGAATATTATTTTCTAGTGTTAATAACAGCATGTTATCATTCAAGTCTAAAGGCTAGGATCACACCTAGTCTTGCAACAGAATTATCAATTGACATTAGATATATACTCACAGTACAGGAGGTCTCCTGTGGGGAGTGTAGTTCAACTGTAAAAAAAAAAAAAAAAAGATAGGGTTATATATTAAAAAGTATAAGTCAAAATCACAATATTCTTTTATATATTTCCTGCACTATTAAATGTAAGCATATATAAGCATTGATTTAAAAGGATAATTAACCAGCAGAGGAAACAATTGTGTATAATCATATAGTGATAACATAAGATTGTTGATTGTAGGGAAGAAGATTGATCGATTGTAATTAGGACATCAAAGTCTGTTTTCTTTACTTGCCAATTACAACAAATTCATATCCTGCATTTATTAACTAATAAAAATTGCCTTCCAATTATAAGAAAAGATGGATCCTGAACGTAAGTTGTAAATTCCAAGGTCATCAAAATGAAAGACATGTATCAAATTCAAGGAGGAATAAATGTATATACCTAGGAGATGTACAAGGATAATTCATTCATTGATTTCTAAATGGTAATGATTCATGTTCACAAAATACATTTCTGAAATCCTATGGTATATAGGAATCAATAAAGTCTTTTCAACAAACATTCTTATACCACTTTGTGTGAGGTGTAAGCTTCTGCACAAGTGTAAAAGTCACAATTATTTGGTTTTCAAAACATAAATATAATCACAAGAAGATCATTTGTAAAACTTGCTACATAACAAAAGAAAAGTTGATGTTGTTTGGACGTTATTATTTTAAGAAAGTGAAAAATGATTTTACCTGAATTTGTTTTCTACCAATAGCATCGCCTCCAGCCCCTGGTGTATCTGAAATGGAAATGATCAAGATCACAAAATACAACCTCTGATCTGATGCTCTTTGTTTATATGTCATTATCATTCTCAGAGTTGAGTAGTAGTGATACTTACATCAAAATATGGGGAAATGCTTCTGAATTTTATCGCTATCAGCATTGAGCTTTATTTCACATCTCCCCCTCCTCCACCCTCTTTCTCTCTCTCTCTCTCTCTCTCTCTCTCTCTCTCTCTCTCTCTCTCTCTCTCTCTCTATATATATATATATATATATATATATATATATATATATATCTTTCTTTCTTTCTATCAACATCTTTTAATTGGTTTCCTAAAAAAGAATTATATATTGGATTATTGGTTGACAAGGAAATGGCATAAGTTGTCTCTTATTGAAACTTATAGTCTGGAATTACTATCCTGTAATTCAGATCTAAGATTTTACAATGGAAGCAGTTATTTTCAATGCATTTAAATAATCAACAGAATTACATAAAGTTCACCAATCGTGTCTGAAAAGAATAATTGTAGTCATATCCTACTTACTTCTCCTGTCATGGGTTCCATAGCCACTCCTAAAAGGAAGAAAATAAAATGTGCTTATTTAGACTAAAATCATAAAAGTAATGCAAAACTGTAGTTGTTCCTAATTTTACATTATTTATTTATTTAAAAAATAATACATCAGATTTTTTTGATAGAATCAGAATGTAAGCTGCATGTAGGTATAGTATCATGAAATGGAAATTGATGGTTACCTTGGATTATATGCAGTGGGACTGTTACTAAAGGGTGAAAAACTAGGTGTGCTAGAAAGAAATATAGAAAATGAAAAATGTCAGATTTATATACCACAATCAAGAGAAACGGTTGTCAAAATGAAATATAAATCAAAAATTAGAAAAGACACTGAAACATTGAGGGTATAATGCATGATGAATCAAACACAAAAACTACTGTTGCCTTAACATGCTTAGAACTTATGGCATATCTTTTACATTTAAAGCCATACTAAAAGCACTACCCCAAAGTCCCCTCTATAAGGCGTAAGCTAGTCTACCATAATTTCAAAAGATGGAAAGAAAGCTAGCATAAACAATGGGATAGGATTATACTGAACATGGGTACGACTGCATATGTTAGTGACTATATGACATGAAATTATTGGGACATTGACATTGACATTGTAAGACATTGTTGAGTAATTTTGTTTTTTAAAGTATCGATTGTAATAGTAAATTCATTATTTTTTAATTGTTACGTTTTCTAAACTGATTTGTACCAAAATACTTTGTTTAGCTGTTTAAGGGGTACAGGCTCGACTAGCACGTGTGCTTTTATTTGGCCCCTTTTACCAACCAATAGTTTCTCTTCTTGTATATGTATAATCATTGTATGAAATGTATATATTGCTGTCTGTAAATAAATCAAATCAAATCAAATCAAATCAATATACCTTGGAGCAGTCATCTTGGATGAAGTGGGCATCATAGTAGCACATGAAGTAGGCGTTATTGTTCCTGCAAAGATGGGGAATCATTATGTTGGGACATCATGATTGCAAAGACTTTCAAGAAATCTACTCTAGGGAGAGCCTTTCAGCTCATGTTATGGCCTATATAGAAATCAGGTTCAGCTAGATAATGAGGTGATTGTAAAGATTGCATAGTTTAACAGGCAGAGGGTTATTTTTAGGCAATTGAAAATTTCCCCAAATTGGATTTCTTGAAAGTCTTTATGATTATCTTGAAATGTAACAAGGTTTATAAATGAAACGCCACTCCGCTAAGGATTCTGCTTCACAAAAAGAACTCAGTCAATGAAGCAAAAGTCCTCAACTAAAATGCCGTAAATCAAAATAACTGTTTTTATAAAACAAAATATTTGAAGAAAATTCCTTGAACAAACGTAAAGGCCCGAAACCTCCTTTGTGAATTTGGGCCATACAGTTTGAAAATAAGGATATCACTGGGCTGGGGGACCTTCTTTAAAAATTATCAATTAATTCAGGATCAATGCAGGAAAATGGCAGCAACAGAAAAATGGGGATTAATTGAAAAATCTGCCTAAAATGAAGATATAAGAACAGGCTACCTCGTGGCCAAAATTGTCCATCCCTTTTGTATGCCCTGTAAGAAGCGCCATGTGGAGCCCCCCAAAAGGGGGGTCTTTAAGAAGCAGTGTGACAATTCACTCCCCCACGACATACACACCCATGTACTTTAATTATTTATTAATATTATTAATTTTCAAACCTAATTTCCAGAGTTGATGAGGGCTACGTTCTGCCTGCAATTCTTGTAACTTACTTAACTCATACACCTGTCCTTTTTCTGTAACTCATTCACTCCACATCTCTCATCACTCCTACTCATCTCGCACACCTGTACCCTTCTTTTCCTTTCTCCCTCCCCCCTCTCTAATGAATGCAGACATCACAGAAAACAACAATTCCTGGAAAGAATAATTCCAAATTTAGATTGTCTTAAAGAAGGCAATTAATGCACCTTTAAAAGGACCATCAACGGCACATCCACACCAGAAAGGACAGACAGTTCTAAGAGGGCCAGACCCTAAACAACAAGCCAACCCAACCCCCCCCCCCCCCAAAAAAAATGTACCAGTTTTCGTTCTTCCCATCAAAACAACATTCCAACAATAAACCAAAGATGTTAACATCCCCACGCGATTATAATCCTAATGTTAACCTGACCTATAAATTGACAACAAAAGAAACAGACAACTGAGGAATGTAAAGAGTGCAAGGAGGCAAATGAACTTTCCTTACAAACACAAATCGCAAAATTCTATAGAGTACTGAAGTGTCACAGAATATTAGCCAAATTGTCAAGGTTGCTATCACCAAACGATTTTTGTTTAAACAAGTGCGTGGTTATCACACCAGCACCAAACATTGACTTTGCCCTGCTCCAGCCTATGGCTTGGATGATGTCGCGGTGAACATTATGCAGAGGCTCTGTTCTTTGGAATCATTAACCTGAACGACGAGCCAACATGACGTTAGCACTTTTGTACTCTATGTCACTACATATAAACTCACCCATCCTACCACCTGAGGGAGGTGTTCTTATGCAATACCTTGCTGGTCCAGGGGTGACAACTTGAGGGCTCTTTAAGAAAAATTTGATGATACTAACATTTTCTCTTTAAACCAACATAAATGGTAGAAAAATAGCCTTGTTGATTCCCATTGTCATAATAGAAATCATTTCAAAACAGAACAGATTGGTAATTTAGTTATATGTTAACATTTTCTTGAGATTAAAAATGGTATACATTTAAGCACACTGAATTCATCATTTTAGATGTCAATTTACATGAAAGTAGGAAGAAAAAACATATTTTTCTTTAAAACAGATAAATATGTAGATCTTAGATAACTTTTAAGAGATAATACCAAGATGAAGAGGTCTAAACCATATTTAATCTCTGGAAATTCATGTACATGTATGAGTAGTCCAGCTTTTGTCTTGTCAAATATAGATAAAGACTGATATAAATATAAGGGGAAAGATCACACACACACAGGGAGGAGTAAGAGAGAGAGAAAGAGAGAAAAGAGAAAGAGAAAGAGAAGAAAAAATAGAGAGAGAGAGAGAGATAATTCTTACCTGCATTGATCCCTTACTTACATCCATGGCCGTTGGTCTAAAGTAAAGGGGAAATTGAATTTTATACGAATGTAATCCAATTCATCAGTTAAAGCACACTATTCTCATTTTCATGTCATAGTATGATTACTACATTAACACCGTCATAAGTTGATTTATTTAGTACAAAAGTGTACGGATGAGTAGAATACCTGTAAGGCTAATAACTACCAGAATAATATTTACTCAACTACAATCAAAATATGAAGGTCAATAGTTTTCTTTGAAACCCATCAACTGTTACATGTTTAACGTTTTACAGAATTTTTCAAGGTCTATTTTGAGGTTCGCATTGTGTTTCATTGAATCAATTGGTCTTTCTGAAGTGGATTAATCATTATAGTCAGAGTCATCCATGTAATTGTGGAGAAAATTGTGAAGCACTTTACAACGAGCTAAACTGCAAAAGCCACTTTACCACATCATACCTTAGCATGTAAATTGGATTTGAAAAGTGAAAATGTCAATACCACTTTTGTTATCCCTCCACTTCCCACTTCATTTGACTGTACATGTATCATTGACTGTGTACACTTTTATTTCATGCTTTGTGGACATAAATAAAGTCAAGTACAATCACTGAATACCGTAGTTGAATGAAGCACAGTGATCAATAAGAATCAACAACATTTTGGCTGGTAATAATGATAGCAATATTCTGGGTTTATATCGCACTTGATACATAACTGACATTATTAACCGTATCAGACATCTGAGCAGGGCAATTTTTAAATGGTATTGCCCTCAAGGTTTTGATGGATAAGTCAACAAAATTACAATAAGTTAGTCCGCGCAGAAAAGTCAATGGGATTTTGTGTGTAATTTGGCGGGCAATATAGGTTATATAGAAAACCAATGCGCAAATATTTTACCCCGCTCAGAAGAGTCAATGGGATTTGTGTGTAATTTGGCGGGCAATATAGGTTATACAGTAAGTCAATGGACAAATATTTTAGCCCGCTCTGAAAAGTCAATGGCAAAATGCGTGTTAAACTAGTGCGCAATAATGTAGTGCCAGTTGTAATTTACATCGCGCATCAGCTATTGTAATTTACATCGCGCATCGTGTATTAGAAAATGCGCACTTTGCGCGAACTCCATTGTGACGTAACAATCACATCCTAGGCAAACTGTTTGCAGTGTATCAAAAATCTGTCAAACACTGGATGAACAGTGCTGGTTTGACAATGTTTTTGCAACTTCTAATGCTAGGAAACCCTGTGTAGCCTACATAATTTAAGAGTATAAGATAGTAAGAGTTTCTTTTTTGCTCTAGATGTCTGATGTGGTTAATAATAGTAATATTGACTGCCTAATTCAGGGCAATACGACTTGTCATATATCACCCTCACCTTCGGTTCGGGCGATATATGTCGTATTGCCCAGAAGGCAGTCAATATTACTTAAATATCTCTAGCGTTGTCAATTAATGGTCAAGAGAAGAACCTTGGTATGGCAAAGATAGAAAGAGAGTGAGAGAGAGAGAGAGAGAGTGAGAGAGAGAGAGCGAGAGAGAAAAAGAGAGAGAGAGAGAGAGAAGAGAGAGAATATTACTCACGTAGTAGGATAGGATGGCCTGCTGAATGGAGAGCCTCTATTCTTACAAGGTGATGGCGTCTGGTGAACTAAACATTCAAAAGTAAACAGAAAAATCAACAATTTTTTTCCCCTCTTCGCCTGTTAAATACATTTACAAATGAAAAGGTAATATGTTTATACCTCTGGGGTATTTTCATTTAGCAACAAGATCATAATCAGTACATAAGACAAATGAAGAATACAAAGTTTAATAGTATAAATCACTATTTGAGGAGCATCTTTTTTATTACATGTAGACTTGAATATTCCTTCATAAAATATGTCTATATCTTCAGTAGATCACTAAATGAATATGTCACTATGAACATGACCGACAAAGAAAGCGGACAAAATATACAGTTCCTCATTCTACCCTCAACAATTGCTATGGTAGACAAAGGAACATCCCTTTACTGCTATTATGTAAAAAATCTGTACAACAGGTGTCACATGCATATTCACCTGATCTACACATTTTTACAAAACAGCAGTGAAGGGATGTTCCTTTGTCTACCATATCAATTGTTGAGGGTAGAATGAGGAACTGTATATTTTGTCCGCTTTCTTTGTCCGTCATATTCATAGTGTGTACTGTGCTAAACTTTTTACATACATCAAAACATCTTTGAAAATGGAGCTGAACCATCATTACATAAATAATTTCTTAGTTCCTTGAATGATTTTTTATTCCTTATCCATAGGTACTTGCACATCAGTGCCTTAAGTTAGTAGATCACTCATTCAAAGAATGTCATGTGATTTATATTATCAGTAAGTATATTTTAAATCATTAATTCAAAGTGCTTTTATATTGTTTTCTGTGAGTGAACGATTTCCAAGAACTACTTTGCTATCTTCAGTAGATCATTAACCAGCACCATTTATATTTATAATCCTAATTACGGTAGATATTTGATATAAAGTGCATCACTCACTGTGAATTATATGAGTTAAGAAAACTCTTCTACAACTTCTTCATTAACTGACATTGTATGATTTATACAAATGCTTGATATGATGACTTGTCTAAT